TTTCAGGTTAGATGCTCTCATTTTCATAACAGAATTTTAAGCTACCCTCATTCTGCTTGATATACAAAGCATATGAAGTAATCAACACATCAAAGTTTCTGCCCTTAAGTTTTGCCCAGTGACGGTGACCTTGATCTTTCTACTGTCTGAAAACATCAAAAACTTACAGTACGAAATGTTTTTGAAGACCACCTAAAAGACGTGCATGCAAGACCTCTATTACTACAAATCAGAGATGCCAGATAGGTTGTTGCAACCACTCATCCATCCTGGACTCACAACAGACATTGTTAATCTATTACAGAACATTTTCCTTCGGAGCCTGGACTCAGCCACAAAACTTCCCAATGCAGTTATTCAGTCAGTCGACATGTGAGCTAAAACTTACTTGCCATCGTGGGGAATGATGATCTAAATGCTGCCCTAGCTAAGTCATATCACTGAGGGCCTGTGATCTCAAATAAACAGGAAAGTTTGGGTGGTTCATAAAATTGATTTAGTTGTGCTTTGTGATTGTGGCAACAGTTTACATTGAGGGGATCTGTATGAAACTCTTTATGACACTTACACTTTATGACACTTGTTTCCTGCTTAGTTCATAGCATCATTATGATGAGGAATCAGGATTTCCGTTGGGACTAAAAATCAAGAAAAACTGTACTTCTCAAAAACAAACAAATGGGGCTTCCCTGGTGGCGCAGTGGTTGAGAGCCCGCCTGCCGATGCAGGGGACACGGGTTCGTGCCCTGGTCTGGGAAGATCCCACATGCCGCGGAGCGGCTGGGTCCCTGAGCCGTGGCCGCTGGGCCTGCGCGTCCGAAGCCTGTGCTCCGCAACGGGAGAGGCCACAGCACTGAGAGGCCCGCGTACCGCAAAAAACAAAAAAACAAAAAAAACAAAAAAACCCAAATGAACATGCAGGGCATTATGCTAAGTGAAATAAGCCAGACAGAGAAAACAAATACCATATGATCTCACTTATATGTGGAATCTAAAAAACACACATACAAACAAAAAACAAAACACCTAACTCACAGATACAGAGGACAGGCTGGTGGTTGCCAGAGGCAGGGTGTGGGGGTGGGTAAAATGGGTGAAAGTGGCGAAAAGCTACAAACTTCCAGTTATATTGATACAATAAATAAGCCATGGGGATGCAATGTACAGAAAAGTGACTACAGTTAATAATACTGTGTTGCATATTTCAAAGTTGCAAAGAGAGTAAACCTTAAAAGGTCTCATCACAAGAAAAAAAGCTTGTAGCTATGTGTGGATGTTAACTAGACTTATTGTGGTGATCATTTCACAATTATATAAATATTGAATCATTATGTGTACCCCTGAAACCAATAAAATGTAACATGTCAATTATCCCTCAATTTAAAAGAAAGAGACCAGCACTTACCAAGTCCTTTTCCACCTATAACCGACCCCCTTACCACATCTTCCCTAACTTTCTCATCAATTCTTGTCCCATCCAAACCCAAGCTGGGGAACAGGCTATAAGCTCCTTGAAGTTTGTCTTGTAACTGGAACATAGTACTCCATAAATATGACTTCAATGAATGAATAACTGAATGGCTAATGGAAAGTGCCCTTCCCCTAGGAGCGCCCACTCAGAGGTTTCTGGACAAGAAAAAAATAAATAAATAAAGCTGGTAATAACCTCTTCACTTTTCTCCTGTGGACCCAGAATTGTAAATGGAGAGAGTAAAGAAAATTAATCTCAAAGTAGGGGGCCAGAAGCAGAAATCTAAGTGTGGTGTTGTCTCCACAGGTCCTAGACAGCAGGAGGGCACAAGGTACCTAAAAAAGTCGTCTGAAGGAGACATCCATCAGGAAGTAGAGGAGTGTGCTTACTCCATGCAGCCCGCTAGCATTTAAAGGCGGCTGGGAAGCTGGTAGGAACACAGTTCCAGTTGGTCCTCAGTTACGTTTCCTATCCGGTTTCTGCTCTTGGACTTCTGGTGTTTGGAACTGGGAGAAATATGAAGAAAATCCATTTTTAGGCGTGGAGCAGAGATCCGCAGGCTCGTCTCACCCTATACACGCCACTAACATCTAGCTCCGAGACCCGGGCGACTTTCTCCTAAAATTCGTGAGCCCCGCCCGCTTCTCTGCGGCTTCCCAGGACCAGGCTCGGCCAGCAGAGGGAGAGCAGGAGGCGTGGACCAGGCCAGAGTCCAACCAGAAGGGGATGGCCTGGGAACCCAGGGCGTGGCCATGGCGGAATGCGGAATGCAGGGAATCGCGCATGCGCGGAGTTACCGTGATCAATGGGGACCTCAGGGTTGTACAGTGCGGCATAGGCGGAGCGCCGGGATTGGCCAGGACAGAGGGGAGTGGAATATAACCCGGGCTTGAGGGGCGGGGTTTGGACAACCGTGGGAAGGAGCGGCAGCGACGGCCACTTCGGGAGGGGCGTGGCCTCGGCGTAGCACAGAGGCTTGACCTGAAAATGTGGGACTCAGTCGGTGCGTAGCCGCTCGTAAAGGCAAGACAGGATTGGTCGAGACTGCGGGAGAGGTGGGCAGAGGAATTACCAGAGTGGAAAGCAGAGAAATGGTCACAAGAGAGCGGCATGGGGTCAGCGAAACGAGCGTGGCCCAGAGGATAAGAGGAATGTGAAAGGACTCGGATCAGGGGCGTGGACGCCGATGAAGAGGCGGGGCCACGGAGTAGCGTATGGGACGCAAGTGACGTAACAGAAAGGAGGGCCCTGGTGTAGGCGCAGTGTAAGGATTTACCGTGAACGTGGGCGCGGCATGTCCGTGGGGGCGCGGCTTTACAGTTCTAAGGTGTGCAACAAAGATGGTCCGGCTCCAAGGAGGGGTGGGGCTACGGCGAGGCCAGAGGTGGGCCCAAGTTAGCGCGCCGGCGCGTCACCGCGGCCGGAGGCCCGGAGCGATGGCAGCAGGGGCAGTCAGGCAGTCAGGCAGTCAGGACAGAGAACAGGTGCAGAGCTGGGTGGAAAACAGGTTCGGGCTCCGACACGGGGAGCGTAGCCAGGGCGGGACTTTAAGCTTCTTCGGGACGTGGGCCGGGCGCGCGGGGAAGTGACGTGAATAGGCGAAATGACGTGTCCCGGCGTGAGGGGCGCGGCTAGGCACAAGGGGGCGTGGCCAATATGGCCGCGCGCCTGAGCCTCTCATCCCGGTAGCGAACAGAGTGGTTCCCGCTCTGGGGAACGTTCGGGTAAAGTCCGGCGGCGATGTGGAGCGTGGGCAGCAGGGGAGCGTAGGCTAGCAGAGAGAACAGGGATCCTCTCATACACACGATCCGGCGCTGCAGTGGGCCCCGGAGGCGGGACAGCTGTTGGCCCCGCTAGGATGGCCACAGTCCCGGCGGGGCTTCTCTGTACGATGGGGGTCGGGGAGACAGGGAGTCGCTCCATCTCTACTCTAGTCCTGTTCCTCCGCTCTGAGGGTCACCAGAAAACTACACCCCCTTACGGTTTTGTGCATTTAAAGGTAGAACAGCTGTCCCAGAGAGTCTGGGAAGTAAGGGGGTTGCAGTTTCAGAAACCGAGGCCCAGCAAACTGGATTCACTCATATCTGCGTTGTTGATTTTCTTCCTGACTATACCAAGGGCTACGGACGGATTCACAACCACCCCCGGGGCAGGGGATCAGCAGCTATATCATGTGGACAAGTCTGAGTCTTCTCTACTCCTCAATTCTTTCTTCTATCCTTTTTCTTTAGTGCCCCGTCCTGGAGCTAGAGGGGAAGAACCTACCAACTACAGACGCTGTTGGTGGCTGTAATTCTTTGTGGCGTGAGTTGAAAGCTACTGCTCAGAAGATGCTGGAAAGTCGTTGTTATTAGTGTAATTCCCTCTTGTTTATTTTTTGCTGAGAAAGCTTGAGAAATATGGGGAGATAATGAAGATGTGTACACCTTATGTTGAGTAGAGTTCATTCTCTGTCAACCACTGAAAACCACATTGCTTTCTGCTTCCCCTTTTTCCTTTGCTGACAGTCTGGTCATCTCCACTCTGCTGCTTAAAAGTCTTGCTGGAGTATGGAGAGAAGTTGGAAGTCTCTGGTGAAGGAAGCTTGTCCACACGCTACCCATAAGCTGCCCCTGCACATCCCTCAGAACGGTCTCTGTTCTCAGCCTGCACTGAAGTCCACAGTGAACCAATGTTCCCCAGCCCCATGCCCCCACTCTCCCTTCTGGGTCCTGATAAAGAGCTACACTGTTCTTGAGTATTTTGGAAATGAAAACCTTTCAACTTTCTAGGGCTTTCCTACTTCACTCAGAAATTGTAAACTCAGTGCCAGGTCTGAAATGCACCTAAAGGCTGAAAGCAGCAAGGGCACCATTTCTGTGCCTGTGCACGCCTGCCCCGTTGTCCCTGGAGCCAGGCAAAAGGCTGCCACCACTCGTAGTTGGAATACAATGAGTTGCGTTCCTTTTGACTGAATATGAATATTGAGGAAATCTGATGGAAGGAGGGAAATGCATTTCATATCATTCCACTGGAGCAATTAGTGCGCTGGAGCAATTGCAGTGCGCTAAGCAATTATAGAAATGTAACCTTTGGCAACCCTATATTGGGATCATAGAGAAGAAGTGGGTGAGAGGAGCAAGCTGAACTTTCTCAGTCAAGATAAGGAAACATAACTTCTAATTTAAATTTCAGAGAATTGCAAAAACGCTGTCTTCCTTTCTAAGTCAGAAGGCAAGAAAGTGAAGGGTCCATCTGATAAGAATCAAGGAATTTTTCTTCAACGCAACTGTAACCTTTAGTAGGTTTTTGTGCTTTGTTTTTTGGGGTTTTTTTGGTGTTTTGCATAAGTACAAATGGCTTAACCAGGCAGAGTTGAAGAGCCAAGGCATTTAATAAATACACAATCTACAAGTGATTCTAAAAGGCTGTTAGAATCTGTTCATTCACACATTTCTGTCTGCAAAACAGCAGATAAGGACGGTGTAAGTAAAACCCAAGAGCATATATAATCAGTGATAGCAAAGGGCATGTAGCATAGAAAGCTTACCTTCCCTAGGGCCCATCCAGCTCATGGTCACACCTTTCCTGTGCCTGTACAACAAAATATAACTTATTGAGAAAATGTGTTCTACATTTATACGTTCCAGGGTTCACCTGGGGCCTATTTAATAATGAGTATTAGTTTATTTGTAATGCTAAATTTTGCAGTTTATAGTCTAGGTGCAAATTCATAAACGTTTTTCTGATAAGCATCTTTCTTTCCGAAGCACATACCTGGACATTAATAATCTCACATATTGTTACACGTATTGTAGCCTAGCATTAGCTAAATTAAGTTTCTTTCTATTAGGATTTCCCTGGAACCCTCCTTGCCCCTGACCTTCCATGCATCCATTCCTTCCTTGGTTGCCTTTGACCATTCCTTCTCCATCTCTTGGCCTCCTTAATCACTCCATTTTGTTGGTCTCTATACACCTGTTACCCCTGGGGGGAGGGGATGTTCCTTCTCTCTCTAGCCTCACAACCTCTCTTGAGCACCAGAGCTGCACTGCCAACTCTCCCTAGACCTTTCCTCTCGCCTGCCCCCTTGGCACCTCAAACCCAATAGAATTAGTAGTAAGAGTGCCATCTTTCCCTCCCCGCCAGCTCCTGTGCCGGGTTCTGTTTCTTTGTTCAGGGGTTCATCCTCGTTCTACCATGAGGTAGAATATTCTACCATATTTCCTCACTTGAATTACTGGAATTTCATTTCAAACTCCACATGCCCAAATCTGAGCTGCTGATTTCCCACCCAAAACGTTTTCCATACACAGTCTTCCCATCTCAGTTCGTGGCAAGTCCATCCTTGCAGTTGTTTAGGCCAAGCATCTGCCAGTCATCTCTGACTGCTTTCTTTCACATCTTACGGGCTGCATCCCCAAGATACATCCAGTACCCAGCCACTTCTCACCACGTCCACTGTGACATCCTTAGTTCCAGCCCCTGGATTATCCTGAATGGGCTCCCTGCTTCTTTCTTTCATCCTGGTCAGTTTCCAGTAGGGCACTGTGAATGAGCTTTTTAAAATGTAAATCAATTCACATTCCCACCAGCAGTGCAAGAGTGTTCCCTTTTCTCCACACCCTCTCCAGCATTTATTGTTTCTAGATTTTTTGATGATACAGCCACTATGGAGAACAGTATGGAGGTTCCTTAAAAAACTACAAATAGAACTACCATATGACCCAGCAATCCCACTACTGGGCATATACCCCGAGAAAACCATAATTCAAAAGAGTCATGTACCAAAATGTTCATTGCAGCTCTATTTACAATAGCCCGGAGATGGAAACAACCTAAGTGTCCATCATCGGATGAATGGATAAAGAAGATGTGGCACATATATACAATGGAATATTACTCAGCCATAAAAAGAGACGAAATTGAGCTATTTGTCATGAGGTGGGTAGACCTAGAGTCTGTCATACAGAGTGAAGTAAGTCAGAAAGAGAGAGACAAATACCGTATGCTAACACATATATATGGAATTTAAGAGGAAAAAAAATGTCATGAAGAACCTAGGGATAAGACAGGAATAAAGACACAGACCTACTAGAGAACGGACTTGAGGATATGGGGAGGGGGAAGGGTAAGCTGTGACAAAGCGAGAGAGAGGCATGGACATATATACACTACCAAACGTAAGGTAGATAGCTAGTGGGAAGCAGCCGCATAGCACAGGGAGATCAGCTCGGTGCTTTGTGACCGCCTAGAGGGGTGGGATTGGGAGGGTGGGAGGGAGGGAGACGCAAGAGGGAAGAGATATGGGAACATATGTATATGTATAACTGATTCACTTTGTTATAAAGCAGAAACTAACACACCATTGTAAAGCAATTATACTCCAATAAAGATGTAAAAAAAAAAATGTAAATCAGAGTATGTCCTTCCTCTACTCCGAAAACTCCATTGTGTTCCCACTTCTCTTAGAACAGTGGTTCCCAATCAGAGGTGATTCCCGTTCTCCAAGGGACATCTGCAATGCCTGGAGACGTTTTTGGTTGTCACAAATGGAAGGAAGGTGCCACTGGTATCCAGTGGGTAGAGACCAAGGGCACCGCTAAACAAGCTACAGTGCAAAGACTAGTCCTTTACAACAGAGTTATCTGGTCAAAATGTCAACAATGCCGAAGCTGAGAAACCCTGAGTTAGAGAAAGAGCCTTTACAATGGCCTACATGTCTCCTTGATATGGCATCCAGTACCTCTGGACCTCACCTCCTACCACCCTCTGCCTGGTTCACTCCACTCCTGCTGTATTTACCTACCCCTCCCGCATACTAATAATCTGAATGATGTTTTCCACGTGATCGGCCACCTCTGTTGTTTGCGACTTTTCTTCCTCTGTCCTCCTTTTGCTCTGGGTTATTAGGTTCCTTCAAGTTACTTGGGAGCTGATCAAGACTTCAAGCTAAAGATGGTGATGATGAGTCGCCTGAGGGTCATTCTTCAAGCCTCTCCATGCAAGGCACAGTGGAGAAGGTTCCAGATTCCGAGGTCCATGCTAGCAAGGCCCTGCAGCCTCTACACCTGTACTTACAAAACCCGGAACCGAGCCTGTGAGTACATGGCTGCCTGGAGAGAGCAGAAGCCTGGTTGTTTCCTAACAGTCACATGTGTTGAGTGTCTGCAGCTCTGATGTCAGTGGCATTCCAGACTGGGATTAGATGCCTTGAGAACTGAGAGTAATAACCCATTATTTCTCTGTTTGTTCAAATATGGAAAGCCTTTTTCTCCCCTAGCTTTATTGAGATATAACTGACCTAAGTCTAAGGTATACATCATGATGATTTGATACACGTACATACTGTGAAATGATTACCACGGTGCCGTGTGGAAAGGTGTTTTCTTCACCAATTTTAACTTGTTAAAATGATGTCATGCAGAAATAAGTCAAAGAAGTCCTAAGTTTCAAATACTTTGAACCTGTTCTTTATTGTTTTTTGTTAGCAACCGTCTTTTTACTAAAATTGATCCACGGACTGCGAATTATTTCTGTGAGTCTGAACATTCTGGAATTTGCATATTCATGTTTGCAAGCAGTTCAGTAGCTTCATACTCTGGAATATTCCGTCCCTCGTTACAAATTGCAGAAGAGGTGCTTCTAGGTGACCAGCTCGCCAGTGTGAGCTCCGCTGTGAACCCAGCAGATCAAGTGAGGCAGCAGATGGTCCTCCCTGACACCACGGCGCTACTGCCATGGGCGTGGGTCATCCTGTGCTGTCGGGGTGGACTGTGCACTGCAGATGCTGCATGGCATCCCTAAGTGTCCCCTGGGGGGCCAAGTAACCCTGGTACAGAACCCCTGAGATGATCGGAGAGGATAATGTGTGTGTTAGTGGAGACATGAGTTTAATGAAATGGTTAAGCATATCTGCTAAGAAGTTATGTATTTTCCACCATTCACAGTGAATTCACACAGTTTTCCAGTGTTGGTTTGCTTCCAGATTCTAGCTTTCTCAACTTTTCCTCCTTGGGTTTACTCTCTTTGACCCTGTTTTGCACATTACAAGAGGGATTTATTAGTAATGCTAATCTAGCTAAATCTATTGCCTTGAAACTGCTTCATAAATATATTTTTACTGTAAGTTTATTTTGTTTCCTCCGATGTTGCCTGTGTTCTCATTAAACTGAGCTGGTCTGAGTCATAATAAATTTCTGGTTGCTGGGTGCGGCTTCCTACCATCAGGCCCCCATCCTACCCGGACTGGCTTATTCTCAACACTGGCACTTTGCGGTCTAAGGCTTAAAATGGAAAAAAGTAGTCATATTTATCTAGTTACTAAATTTTGTGTGAGTGCTTTCCTTATTTTCTTGTTTGTTTATATTTACAGAAAGTATTTGTTTTTATTTACAGAAAGATGGAAGTAAATCCAATATGCTCGTGTCTTTAGGATAGTTTGCTCCTTTTAGTGCTGACAGAACCCAGAAAGTATTGGCTTAGGGAGGTAGGGGCTTCTCTTGATTAATTTCCCACATCAGATGAAATGTTCTTGTTTGTAACTTACTAGAAGAGACAGGTCACAGTCACCGTTTGATTTTGGTTTTCGAATATTACTCTGTCCCTCCTTGTTTCCCCCAGGAGAATATTTGGTCTTTGCTGCCCTGGGCCACTGCGCATGTCCTATTTGTATATCCTGGTCCCTCATCTGTGTAGTTGTAAAGACGATACTCATTGATTCTGGAAGCTCAGTACCCCAGCGGAAGGCCCAATACACTTGGGACCCAGAGTGATGCAAGACCACTGAGGGTTAATTAATGTGGAAAGTCCTTAGCTAGCGCCTGCCACACACTGAGAACTCGGCCTTGGCAGCGACCTCTAGTACCACAGTCGTTATCATCATCACTACCTTCATCACTGTCATATGCTCAGCACCTCCCTCAGATGTCTGACCATTGTTAGGATCCGGGAGCCGAGTAGGGAGTGACTGAAGGAGGCTGCGGCGAATTTAGAAACAGCATTTCACTGGGGCCTGTGCCCTGTGCTCTGCCTTCACTCCGCACCATCCCTCTCCCCGAGGAATCACTGGCATCAACTCAAACTGCTGTTGGCTGTGATCTCAAGTGGCAGACAGTAAATGTTGACAGTCCTAACCCTGCAGACTGGTGATATGATAAAATAAAGATGAAAGCCTGCATCTATTACCCACGATGAAAATAAAATCACTTTCATTTCTTGTATCATCTAGTGAAATTTAGCCTAAATTTCTGTCACATAAAAAAGATTTAGGGTTTCCGGGCGGCGGGGACGGAGGTGGGCTTGGCGGGCCGCACGGCCTCGGGGCCGGAGCTCGGGTCCCCCGCCCGCCCCAGCGCCCGCCGCAGGCCGAGCCCCGCGCCCCGCGCCTCCATCCTGGGTCGCGGTGGTCGGAGGTGCGCCCGGGTCCGCGGGACAGGCGGGCGCAGAGGTCGTTTGTGTTTGGGGGGGGGGCGGGGCTGCGGCGAGGTTCCGGCGCCTCCGCGGAGCACCTCGGGTCTGGGGCTGGGGGCGCCTGCGGCTTGCTATGCTCTCCGCACCCTCCCGGCTCTGCAGCCTCGAGAACACGGCTAGGCAGCAGTAGTTTAATGGGGAGTTGGCCTGCTGGGAACTAGGGGCCTGCTGGGGTCTCAGTTCTTGGCTGGCCCCGGAACACGAGGTTGCCAGGCGTGTGACGGCAGCAGGTAGCAGTGAGCCGCTGGTGCGGTGATGAGCAGGAAAGGAAGGACACTGGCTCTTGGCCTGTGAACCTAGGCAAGAACGACCAGCCAACACAATCCAGACCAAGGTCCGTGGGCCCAGCTCGGTCCTGTGCGGCTGGTCGGTGGAACAGACCTGCAGGTGTGGCTCTTGTCACTCTAGGGCTGGCTTCGGGACAGATCCTGCTGATGAGCCCAGAGCACCGCCCTCAGCTCTCCAAGAGAGTGCGCCTGAGTGGAGCCAGGGCGGTGTGCACCACTCAGCACGGCCGCCCTGCGTGTCCAGTCTGCTGGCAAGGGCAGTGGGGAGCCGGGGGAAGTCATGGCCTTGCGAATGTCCTCTGATGAAAAAGAACCTGCAGGCTTATAGAGTAACATTTGTGTGGAACGTTGGTGTGCTGAAAAGCAGTTCTGTGTGCCTTTCCCCCTTGGTGTGGATCAGCAGTGCTGAGGCAGCAGGCGTGATGCAGAAGTGTGAGCAGAGACCGTCTAGAATCCCCAAACTCCAGGGAAACTAGAGGTGACAGCCAGCCTAGTGAAGAGGCAGGAGGCGGGGGCGGGGGCGGGGGCGGCAGCCCAGCAGGCGCCCCTCGTCTCAGGGCCCTAATCCTGGCTCCAGCTGGGTGGTCAGGGGAGCTGCAAGGTCTTCTGCACGAGCAGAGCCCACAGTCCTGAGCTGTTCTTCTCTGTGTTTGGGTCATCTCCCCCCATCCAAGGGGAGAAATCTAGATGAGGTTTAAGAACTAGTGCTTTAAGAATGTGGATCTCATAGTTGAAACCTCGGAACACGTGTCTTCAGCACAAGGTGTTAAAGTGAACGGAAGGATTCAACGCCTTTTCGAGGAGGGTGTCTCCATGTGGGCAGAACTAGAGAATAAATGGGTCTTGAATAAAAAAAAACAACAAAAAAAGATTTAGGCATGAGATCTTAGACCATAGGGAAATAAGTTTAATAATATTAATTTTTAATTTAATGAAATATAAAGAATGTCATCTAGAATGGAAATGGTACAGATTTGTTATTATTCTATTGATTCTTAACGTTCATGATCTCCCTAGTTTTAGAAGTAAGAGGAACATTTATTTTTAGGACAAATCTCAGTAGAATAGCACTGTATAAAATGTAGCTACTAGCCCCATGTGTGTATTTACATGTAAATATATTCAAATTGTATGGCCACCTGTGGCTAGCACTTACTATATTAGAAATTTCCATCATCAGAGAAACTTCTATTTGACAGGACAAGTCTATATTATAACTTACCTGTGTTAGAAAACTGTTCTATTATTTCTCCAATTCATTTTGAAGGACACTAATAAAGCCTGGAGAACGAGAGTATTCAAAAGCTTGTTTTGCAACGTCTTCACAGAGAATTCCGTTAATCCCCAGATAATATAGGCTGGGATACCCAGACTGTGTTGTCTTCCATTAATTTTCAAATAATCTTGAGAAACAGTGGACCTATTAGCCCTGTGGAATTACAGTAACGGCCTCAGGGGTATCTGCAGCTACAGTGAACTAACAAACAGCCCTGAACTGACCACCAGGAAACGTGGGCCTTAGTCTCCTGCACTGGTAACTGCATGTGACGCTGTGGTTACCTGGGCTCAGCATGAAAGTGCCTTTTACAACCCTGATGCTCTAACAAGGCACTCTGTGATTCTGTGACCATCCCCAGCAAAGTCACATGGAGGGTCCCTGTGTATCCCATCACTGCAATAAGCCCTAGGCCTGCTAGGATGGTGTTCAATTTGACGAGGAAATAGCCCATCTCAAGAAAAAGGACAGTACAGGGCAAGGCACTGGAGAGAAAGCCAGTGATGGTATAGAGCAATAATGTCCAAAAGATATATAATGCGAGCCACATAGACACTTCTAAATTTTCTAACAGTCACACTAAGAAAGGGATAAAGAAACAGGTGAAATTAAGTTTAGTTATATACTTTAACTCACTATATCCAAAATATTATCACTGTAACATGTAATCAATATAAAGATTATTAGTGAGGTAGTTTACAGGATTTTCTCCTAAGTCTTCAAAGCCCAGTGAGGTATCCTACAGTTTCAGCACATCTCACTGACTGACCAAGGGGAGTAGCCTGGCAAGGTTCTGGAATAGCGTGGCAAGAGCAGAGCTTGGGAAGAATGAGGAGAAATAAAATTAGATGGGCGAGATGGGTTCCTACTAGGAAAACCTCGATGCTTGGATGCAGAAGCTTGGACTTCACATAGTCTTTAACATGGGAACAACATGATGAAGGTGGTAATTTAGGAAAACTGATGGATGGCAAAACACAGTAGAGGGGAGTAAGAGAGGAGAAAAAGTGAGCAAGAGGACCTTTCCTTGAGGAAAAGTCTGTGGTACAGGGGCCTGAATGAGGCTGGTGGTCAAGGGCTGGACAAAGAAGAGATAAACCTCAAAGATCCTTAAGGAGAAAACAATGCGGCGCTCAGTAGAGTAAAAGGAAATAAAGATAAAACGGGAATGACCCCTTCCCAGTAATGCTCTTTATCTTATACATTCAATCCACAAGCAGGGACTGAAAGCCAGCTCAGTTCTTCATGGGGCTTGCAGAGGGTGCAGATAACTAAGCATATATGCATATACTTATCATCATACCCATGTAATAAACGATTTGAAGGAAAAGATCAGAATGCTATGATTAATAAAAAACAAGAGGGGATCGCATAAGAGGATAGGGAGGTGCGGAAGTGACACTTTTGCTGAAGAGGTGACAAGCCAAGAAGAGGAGCCAGCCCTGAGCTGAATGAGGGGAGATTGATTTCTGAGAAGGAGCAGGAACTGAGGGGCTGAGACAGGAATGATCCCGAAAGACGGACACCCCCGAGGCTGGAGCTGAAGGTGGTACAAGTACAAAGTAAATCGAAGACAGGACCAGTCATGTAAACAGGAACCAAAGCTGAGCACATCCTCACTGTGGAATCTAAAGGGACTGTGTTGCTCTCAGTGTTACATTAGTGACACCTTCCTAACGACAGTGTGACGTCGTGCCCTTAAACCATGGCTGACAGAATCACTCTCTCTGTTCATTTCATTCTCCCCACATGAGAAGAAGCTGGAAACGCAGGCTCCGTTAGTCAGAAGACGAAATCACCTTCTGACTTTGAGGGGAAGTCTGAGTAACCACCAAGAAATCATTTTAATCTGTATTTTGTTAAAATGCAGGAAGAGGAAGGGAAGAGAGAACAAAAATGTGAATTTATCATTAGCAAAACGAGCCCTGGGCAAAAGCTGGCTTCACGAAGGGGACAGTGACCAAGGGCTCCCTGGTTGGGGGGATGCTCTGGGTTCCTAAAGGAGGAGGTGGGTGGGGGAAAGAAAACCTGGAAGCTCAACTTGTGAATAGAGGGGCATACAAATTGACGGGAGCGTTATGACCATACAAGAGCAGCTGAAGGAACAGGCCCAGTTTCCTTGGGCTGGTGTTTGTGTGGGTGAGAGAGTAGACTCTAGGCCATTTCCTGAATGAAGTGGGGGACGATTTGGGTGGAAGAGGGCATCGTCTTAGGGATCTGCTCTGTATTCCCTTCTCCCCTAGTCTCCTTACGAGACCCACACGAGCTGGTTTTGAAGGGTGTGAATGCTCAAACCCTCAGCCTCAGTCTGAGCATCTCAGAGCGGACAGTGTTGTCAGGTTTCTTTGTGCCGGCGGGCAGCTTTAAGACTGAATCATGGCTGTTCTCGGGGTTTCTGGAAGTTTTAAAATATCAAATTAAAAATTAATCAGTATGGCTGATTCATTTTGTTGTGCAGTGGAGGCTAACACAACATTGTAAAGCAACCATACGCCAATAAAAATTAATAAAAAATAATTAAAAAATTAATCAAATACAGCTTTTTATCCCAACAATAGCATTTGGATAATCAATACTCAAAGGGCATATACCCAGTAGGGCGCTACAGGGCACGGAAGAAAGGGAGGGAGGTATGGCTCCTCCCTGCAAGGAACTTGCATTCTAATCTGATACCAATATGACTATTGTACCAATTCATATGCATTTTTCATTTTAGATTTCTGAAACAGAAAGTCCTCCTTCTCTAAAGTAAGTTCTTGTTGTTCAGAAGTTATTTTACACTAAGGGAGAAAACCCAAAACGTTGGGTTCAGACCTCTCTAGAGACGAGATTACCGCATTATATGAAAAAATTGAGCGGGGGGTGGGGAAAGGGAATGCCCTGAGTTTGCCTATTGCTTTCTGCTCTAGACCAAGATTTCTCAACCTTGGCATTAATGATATTTGGGGCCACGTAATTCTTTCCTGTGAAAGCCCAGCCTATATACGTAGGATGTTTAGCTGCATCCCCAGCCTCTACCCACTAGATGTCAGTAGCACCCTCCTCCAGTTTTGACCACCGAGAGTGTCTCCAGACATTGTCCAATGTCCCCCGGGGTCAGAATCGCTCCCTCCTTTGAGAACCACTGGTCCAGAAACTGCCTTGGAGCGCTCTGTGTCTATGCCGCTGGGGCACTTGTACCAAAAAATCGAAGGTTAAGATCCTGCTTTGGGCAGCTATCTCAGGAAGAGAACCGTCTCCTCTGTAAGAGGAAACCAGAGGCAAGCTTGTTTTTTACCACAAGTGGAGTGCCAGTGACCCTGCCATGCACAGGGGGGTTTGACTGGGCAGCAGCTGCCTTGTCACTTTCGTCAATCCTCAGACTCATTCTCAGTGGTGGGGTGAGGTGCAGAGGGTCGTTGGTAATGATTTATCTTGATTCGTATTTTGTCCAGCTTTCCTGTTGGTCTCGGTTCTGCCCATCCGTGCTGATTCTAAAGGGCAGAGAGCTGGACCACCCGAATTATACATGTGGGTTCTATCCATCATGTGTGGATAGCTCTTTCTTTGTTGTAAGAAGTTTCCTGAGATTTATCAGGGACTTGCCACAAAGACCTGGCGCTCGACTCTTTGGTAGAAAAATCACCGTCAGTGATGTCATCATCACCCGTGTGGGACAGAGTGTGCGTGTACACCTTAATATATACAGTGTCATAGCTATTCATGTGGCAGGACTCCAGGGACCTTAGCAATGCTAACATTCTACCCAGGCTTTGCAGGATGGCTGCCTAATCCTCACAGCTGGCTCACATAAGAGCTGAACCCAGCATACACGCTTACATGGGACCATATCATCCCCCCAGTGGGATTCCAGCTAGTGTCATCTCGAGGACAGCCCCCGATGTGCTTTCTCCTAGTGCACCCTCTCTGGGAGAGCGTGGACCTGGTCCCGGGGGGTGAGCGCCAGTCGCCCATCAACGTCCGGTGGAGGGACAGTGTCTACGATCCTGGCTTAGAACTGCTCACCGTCTCTTACGACCCGACCACCTGCCTCCGCGTCTGGAATAACGGGTACTCTTTCCTCGTGGAACTTGAAGACTCTGCAGATAACTCAGGTGAGAGCCAGACCTGTCTGTGGTCTCATCTGGAGTTAAAGGGACAGTTTCATGTCAGCACAGGCCACATCGCAAGGCCTCCATGGGAGTGGAGACCTCTTTTGTTAGCAGTGGCACGGGACTCACGGGACTCTTTTTTTCGTTGTGTGATACACATAACATGAAATGTACTCTCTAAGCCTTTTTTTAAGTATATGGTTCAGTAGTATTAACTACATTCACACTGTTGTGCAACTGTCACCACCATCCATCCTCAGAACTCTGTACCCATTAAATAATAACTCCTTATTTTTCCCCACCCTCCAGCCCCTGGCAATGAACATTTTCCTTTTGTTTCTATGAATTTGACTTTTGGGTGCCTCACTTAAGTGGAATTATACAGTATTTGTCTTTTTATGACTGGATAATTTCACTGAGCATAATGTTTCCAGGTTCATCCGTATTGTAACACGTGTCAGAATTTCCTTCTTTTTGAAGGCAGAATAATATTCCATTGTATGTACAGTTAATCCGTAGACAACACAGAGGTCAGGGGCACCAACCCTCCACAAAGTTGAGAATCTGAGTATACCTCATAGCCAGCCCTCCATATCTGCATTCCTCCATATTCTCGGATTCATCCAGCTGGGGATCATGTAGTACTGGAATATTTACTTTAGAAAAAAATCCACGTATTAGTGGACCCGCGCAGTTCAAACCCATGTCGTTCAAGGGTCAGCTGTATATACCACATTTTGTTTATCCCTTCATCTGTTCGTGGACACTCGAGTGGCAGCCGCCGTCTGGCTATTGTGAATAATGCTGCTGTGAACATGGGTGTACAAATATCTTTTCAAGATGCTGTTTTCAATTCTTTTGGGTATATACCCAGAAGTGGGATTGCTGGATCCTCCTTGGACTTTTTTGAGTGTATGAAAAATGTCTCTTTTCATTTTTATGTACATTTCCATCTACTAGTATAAACAGTATTTCCTGTTAATACATATATCTCTGTGTATAGATTCTATAACTGATGTAGAAGATAGGGCGTGAAGTTAAAACTTTGCTAGAAATTTATTTTCTGTGTGTGTTGAATATGTGGTAATGTTCCTCTACTTGCTGACTTTACAAATAACTTTTATATTAAATAGCAATACTGTTTAGTCAGATTTTAAATGATAAAATTGCAATACAGTTGAGCCTTGAACAACACAGGTTTGAACTGTTTAGGTCTATTTATACATGGGTTTTTAAAAAATAACTACATACTACAGTACTACACCATCCGCTGTTGCTTGAATCTACAGATGCGGAACCGAGGATAAGGAGAGCCAACTGTAAAGTTAAATATGCTGATTTTCAACTGCGAGGTGGTTGGCACCCCTAGCCCCTGCGTTGTTCAAGGGTCAACTGTACAGGGCAAAAGGCTAGTCGGGCAAGAAAAAGGCCTTTTATATTTGTGGTTACCCAATAACATGTATGTATTTTGTCATTCATTGATTTATGTATTCATTCAACATTTACTAAGTGCCAACCATGTGTCAGACATTGCATTGAGTGCTAGGAATAACAACTCGATTCTTGACCTCCCAGAGTTCAAAGTCTAGTGACAGAAGCACACATTAAATTAAAATGATAAAGCAAGTGTGATTTGAAGAAGGGTTTCTAAAAGTGCTGTGGGACCACAGAGGAGGGTGTGATGTAGACTGCTCAGAGGACTCTACGATGATTCCACTAAGGAGGGGACATTTGTGTTGGGTATTGAAAGATGAAAAGGAGTTTGCCAAGAGGATTAGAAGGGCATCCCAGACTGAAGGAAAACCATGTGCAGAAGCAGATGTTCAGAAAGTGGTCAAAACCCAAAGTGGCCAGAATGAGAATGTGTGTTGTGGGAAGAAGCGGGAAGATTGGTGATCATTGAAGATTAAGAGGGTAGGTGGAGGGCTTCCCTGGTGGCGCAGTGGTTAAGAATCCACCTGCCATTGCAGGGGACACGGGTTCGAGCCCTGGTCCGGGAAGATCCCACGTGCCATGAAGCAACTAAGCCCGTGCACCACAACTACGGAGCCTGCGCTCTAGAGCCGGTGAGCCACAACTACTGAGCCCGTGTGCCACAACTACCGAAGCCCACGCGCCTAGAGCCTGTGCTCCTCAACAAGAGAAGCCACCGCAGTGAGAAGCCTGCGCGCCACAATGAAGAGTGGCCCCCACTCACCTCAACTTGAGAAAGCCCGCGCGCAGCAACGAAGACCCAACACAGCCAAAAATAAATAAATAAATAAAATAAAATTTAAAAAAATATATAGTTTTTAAAAAAGAGGGTAGGTGGAAGGCAGGCTTATGAGACACTGGTTATTTTTAAACAGAGTGGCATAGCATGATATCATCTAAATAATTGATCAATTGCTTTATTTTTTTAGATTGACCCAGGCAACCGTGCAGGACAGCTTAATCCACATGGGAGACGGTGGGAGCCTAAATGAAGGCTGTGGCAGTCGAAAGAGAGAGAGCAAGTTTTAACAAGCATTTTTAAAATAAAAGCAACAGAACTTGGAGACGAGAAGGCTTCAAAGTGAGAAGGCAAAGTTAACCATGACCTTGAGGTGTCTCACTTGGGAGGCTCTGGGGATGGCAATGCCAGAAAGTTCATGAATGATGGACAAGGATAATTTGTAGGGAAGTATAGGGAGCATATAAGGAAATAAAATTTCTTCTTACAACTTTTCCCCTAATTTAATTTTAAATGTTACGTTAAAAATAGAAAGAAACACATTTTAAGTGGTTACCCCTCAAAAAAGAAATGTGTCTTCAACTCCTGTCCAATTCCCATAAGGAGAATCTATTTCTCTCAAGATAAGCATCTTCTCTCCTTTTGATGCAAATGGATTTTGGATTTTAGTATTTCCTGCAAATCAAGATGGGAATGAACAAATGTTGATCCCTCACTGAAATGTTACTTACTTTACTATATAATTAAAAAAATTTTTCTCCCCAAATAAATCCCTTTATTCCAAAGTAATATTAATCCACATGGAATTAATTGCTGCTCCAGCATAAGTTTCTTCCTGTTCTTTATTTCTATCTCATTTTGCATCAGATTGTCATGTCTTTCCCAGTGGCTTTATTTTAGGTAGGGAAACATGTTTAAATAGTGTATGCTGAATAAGGCTGCTGAATTATTTTGGAGCAATCCTATATGGTCAGGCAGTACTTCTTTTAGTGGTGTTTCAGCTGTACTTGGTACATCAGAATGCAATCCAATTTGAAAGCTTTGAGGATGCAGCAACTGGAGGAAGATGGTTTGGCTATGGTAGGAATATTTTTTAAACTATTTTTAAAAACCTTACCAAGTTTAAATGATGTGTTGTATTCTAGAATGAAAAGATAGAACATTAGAATATTGTTATTTACTTTAAGAATATGGGGATCAATACATTGGTAAGATAAACAATGCTTAAAATACAAGACTGTTAAGAATATATTTCAAATGGTATGAAACTGGGCTGTCCAATATGGTAGCCACAAGTCATGTGTGGCTGTTGAGCACCTGAAATGTGGCTACTGTACGTGAGGAAACGAATTTCAAATTTTGCTTCAGTTGATTGTCATTTAAATTTAGGAACTGACAATTCAGCTACTGGAAAACTTAAAAATGTTTGGGACAGCTTGGGTATGTTATCTACATTTTCAAGTGTAAAATATACAAATCAAGTATTTCTGATGAAAAGTTAGCATCCAAATTGATATGTGCTGTATGTATTAAATACACAACATATTTTCAAGACTTAGTAACTTTTCACATTGATTATATGTTGAAATGACAATATTTTGAATATATTTGGTAAAATAAAATGTTTTCAAAATTAAGTTCACCTGTGTGTTTTTTGTTTTTTAACTTCTTCAATGGAGCTCCTAGAAGCTTTAAAATTACCTCTGTGGTTTGCATTACATTTCTATTTTTAGGCATTGGTATAAAAGCAAATAATACTAAATATCAGTTAAAATGTGAGATTTGATAAGAATGTATTTTAAATGGAGTAAAAAGATAAAGGCAAACAACTAAGGGAAATTCAGGAAAGGAACTAAACATTTAAGAGTGTGATGTGACTATACATTTGCTGAGTGCTTCATTTATCTCCCATAGAAGTCTCTGTGGTGGACCCACATCTCCGTTTTTAGATGGAGAAAGTAAAGGTCAGTGAGGTTAAGTGCTTTCCTGCCAGGTCACTCAGCTAGCACCTGGAGAACTGGACTGGAGATCTGTGGACCATACTCTGCACAGCACCTCTGAGCTCCTGCAGGTTCCATAGGTACAGGCCTCCTGCAGGCTCCCTGCCTTAGTCCACTCTGGATGCTGAGTGTTTTAAGGATACCCAGGTTTTAGTCTAGTCAAGTATGGTAAGACACACACACATGGAAATGGCTATCATGAAGGAAGAATTTTATTATACTCACAAATACCTATAAAGAGGAGACGTGGCATGCCATGCATGGCCACATGGGGAAGGACCAGGGGTGGTCAGGAGGCAGAGAGGGCAGGGGAAGACATGGACAGAACCTTTGTTGTGGTTTCCATGGGAAGGAATGGGTGAGACAACATAAGCAGGCTTAGGATTGGCCACTTTGGATAATTTCAGCAGGCTCTGGGCATAGAGGCTTCCCCCAGTTGTCTGGTATGTGGCCCTGGGGTGACTAGGGCAGAGGAATAGTAGCTCAGAGTATTAAGAATCCCAAAAAGGAAGTCGTTGGGGTCTGAGCTCTGGATTGGTTGGTTTGTACATGAAAGGCATGCTCCCTGTTGTTTGTTCTCTCTAGCAATTGACTAACCCTGGGAGAGGTGATCCCTCTAGCATCAGCAAGGCCTCAGATATCAAAGCATCAAATATAGAAACTGGAAAACATAGCTATTGCACTGAAGCTCCTCAGGACTCAGGGGCCTGAACTGAAAGCTGGGCCTTACTACGCGCTGGCTTGCCCTGACAGCTTCAGCCTCCAGAGCCTCTGTGCGCCAAGCACCAGTGAGACCCAGAGGGGGAAGCTGATGGAGTAAGGGACACCTTTTCCTGCAGACTGTGGGTTCCAGCCTATCAGCAAACAGCCTGCTCATTTGTTTTGTATCTACTTTCACTCAGTGATGTTTATAACATTCTAAATTGTCAATTTAAGTGCAGTTCCAGTACTGTGGACTGTTTTTAGGTAATCACCAGGTATCTGACTTTATCTTATTTTTTAATAATATGTTTTATTTATTTATTTTCTAATTCATTTTTGGCTGAGTTGGGTCTTCGTCGCTGCGTGCAGGCTTTCTCTAGTTGCGGCGAGCGGGGGCTACTCTTCCTTGCAGTGCATGGGCTTCTCATTGTGGTGGCTTTGCTTGTTGCGGAGCACGGGCTCTAGGCGCGCAGGCTTCAGTAGTTGTGACACGTGGGCCCTAGAGCGTGTGGACTTCAATAGTTGTGGGGCATGGGCTCAGTAGTTGCGTGTGGGCTCTAGGGCGCGTGGGCTTCAATAGTTGTGGCTCGCGGGCTCTAGCGTGCAGGCTCAGTAGTCGTGGCGCACGGGCTTAGTTGCTTCATGGCATGTGGGATCTTCCCGGACCAGGGATCGAACCCGTGTCCCCTGCATTGGCAGGTGGATTCCTAACCACTGCACCACCAGGGAAGTCCAGGTGTCTGATTTTAATTCACATTCTATTACAATTCTAGAGTGAGATGTCAATTGTTTTTAATATTTTCTCATCTATTGTTCTTTAGCTAGGCAAATATCATAAAGAGCAACAGAAACTGGTGGATACTACGGCATCAATTACGCATTAGGTAATTTTTCCCCCTAAATCACTTGAAATATATTTTATGTTTTAATCTCAGAGTGGAGACGCTAACACGGCACTTTGAAAGGGAAAATGTTAATTCACCTCAGTGTAATTCAGGCTCTCTTTGAAAGCTGCCCCTTAAGACAACTTGCCATTTATGATGCTTGTGTTGAGAGAGCCCCTGGCCCTGGGACACTTTGCAGAGGAGACACATGATTCTGTTGGTGGGCACAGACGGCGGCTCTGGTTTGGCTGCCATGCCAATGAGCACTCAGAAACTCAGGAACATGAGTCCCCTCCTCTGCTCCCGACCGCTGCTCCTTCTCAGTCCTGTGCAAACACTCAGGGAAGCCTTCTGGGCTCTAGCTACCCTCCCAAAGGCAGGGGGCACAGAAAAGTCTGACAGAAACTTGGCTTGTCCAGCTTTACAGAACAATTACCCACATCCTTTGGGGTGGATACCTCTGTCCAGCCGTCAAGGTTAATTGTTCAATATTCAGAATCCCAGAGGGGCTGCTCTCTGCAAGTCTGTCTTCCCTCCCCTCCCTGCCTCTGTCTCCACCCTGCCCTCCCTCTCTATCTCCCTCCTTTTCCTCCTCCCTCCCCCACCCCCACTCCACCCCCATCTACTTTCCTCTCTCTCCCTCCCTGTTCCCCTCTGTCCCTCTCTCTGTCCAGGATCCTGTCTCCTCATAATTTGCACTGCATTTTAGAAAGGTGAATTCTATTAATCTCTCTTGAAAAGGAAAAGCCTCCTTGTTTATGCACCAGCCACCACCTAATGCCTCCCAAAGAGTTCAGAGGACAGCACCTACTATAAGCTCACTAGAACGAAGGGAGAAAATGGTTTTTGCTGTGTTCCCACTGAGGACTATCAGAAATACATGGTTAATTGCAGGAACAAAGCATGGGTATGATTCTGTCCTAAGGTGCCCAGAGGTACCTGGAGCTCATCTGGACCACTGCTGGTCCTCAGACTCCCCTAGAATCATCACCACATCATCTGATTCCTGAGTGGTTTTCAGCATAAAATGATAACTCGATGACCCCTTCTCTTGGCCAGGACATGCTTGTGGAATTTGGGTCATTCGACCCTTCCTGTCTGATGCCTACCTGCCCAGATTACTGGACCTACTCAGGGTCCCTGACTATCCCGCCACTCTCTGAGTCTGTCACTTGGATCATTAAGAAGCAGCCCATAGAGGTTGATCATGATCAGGTACGTTCTTTCCACATTTCTATGTAAGGAAATTCTAGTCTGCCCCTTTAAAACAAGGCTGGGCTCAAACTTTGGCATCAGTTTTTAACATCTTGTAATGCTCATACATTTTTATTAAAATGCGCTAACATCTTGTGTTAATTTGGATATGAATTAGGAAATGCTTCAAATTAACTAGAGAGAAGAGGTAAAACTTAGGAAACATAAGCTTTTTACTTCCATATTTGACAATGACATATGTTTTATGCATTGTATATTTTATATATAAATACGAATCTCTATATAAACAAGACCCTTTTAAAAGGAAGAATGAAGGCTGAGAATGGATGTGCTCAAATCCTGTAAAATCTTTAAGGGAATTTTGCTATGGAACCTCAGGATAAAAGCAGAACCCAACAATGTCTGTCCAGAAATTTTAAGTCAGTTGTTTTGACCCTGGAGTCTATTTTTTCCTTAGCAACTAAGTGGTGATTACTATGTTAATACACATATTCTATTTAATTCATAACATAACTGAACTGCAATAATATTTGCTTATGCTTGCTTTATGGGATTTTAATTAATCACAAAGCATTTTCACAAGAACAAAAGGTTCCAGAACCTTTTTTATGAAGCCAGGATAACTGACACCAACACCCACCAAAGATCAGACCAAAAAAAAAAAAAAAAAAAAATGTACAGACTGGTATGTCTGAAGGATATGTTTTTTAAAAAGCTAAAAAGCTAAAAAGCTAAAATAGGGACTTCCCTGGCAGTCCAGTGGTTAAGACTCCACGCTCCCAATGCAGGGGCCATGGATTCGATCCCTGGTTGGGGAACTAAGATCCCGAATGCTGCATGGCATGGCCAAAAAAAAAAAGCTAAAATAATATTTTATAAACAGAAGCCAGCAGTACCTTAAAAGAAATATATACTTTGTGAGAACCTATTGTATAGCATAGGGAACTCTACTTAGTGCTCTGTGGTGACCTAAATGGGAAGGAAATCCAAAAAAGAGGGGATATATGTACACATATGGCTGATTCACGTTGCTGTAAAGCAGAAACTGACACAGCAGTGTAAGGCAACTATACTCCAATTAAAAAAAAAAAAAAAAGGGACTTCCCTGGTGGTCCAGTGGTAAGAATCCACACTCCTAATGCAGGGGGCCCGGGTTCAATCCCTGGTCTGGGAACTAGATTCTGCATGCATGTGTTAACTAAGAGTTCAGATGCTACAACTAAGAGTCCACATTCCGCAATTGAAAAAAAAGATCCCGCATGCCACAACTAAGACCCAGCACAGCCAAAAATAAATAATAAATTTAAAAAAAAAAGAAATATATATTTTGTCCAAGTAGTAGTTATTCCAGTAATGCAAGGATGGTTCAATATTACGAATGATATTAATTCATATCAGTGAATCTAAATATATTTTAAAAATAATCATTTCCATAGATTCTTAAGAAGCAGTAGCAAAATTCAACATTCAGTTTTTTAAAAAATTTTCAATAAAATAGGAATGTATGGAGACTTCCCTAACTTGATAAAAGAGATTGATCTCAGTTCTAAAGTATATAGTATGCTTAATACGGAAAAGAGAATTACTATGTTAAATTTTAACTGAAGTTATATTTTGGAAGTAGTCAATATAATTAGACCAGAAAAGAAAAAATAAATTAGAAAAACAACAAAAAGAACTACTGCAAAGATAACTGAGTAATTAGTGGAGTACAATATTAATTTCTAGAAATCAGTACACTGGACATGTATACATCACAATCAGTTAAAAGATATAATGGAGGGCTTCCCTGGTGGCTCAGTGGTTAAGAATCTGCCTGCTAATGCAGGGGACACAGGTTCAAGCCCTGGTCCGGGAAGATCCCACATGCCGCGGAGCAACTAAGCCCGAGCGCCACAACTACTGAGCCTGCGCTCTAGAGCCTGCGAGCCACAGCTACTGAAGCCCGCACGCCTAGAGCCCGTGCTCCACAACAAGAGAAGCCACTGCAACGAGAAGCCTGCGCACTGCAACAAGGAGTAGCCCCCGCTCGCCGCAGCTAGAGAAAGCCCACGCGCAGCAACAAAGACCCAATGCAGCCAAAAATAATAAGTAAATAAAATAAATGAATTTTTAAAAAAGATATAATGGAAGAAAAAATGCTATTTATAATGGAAAAAAATACAAAATACCTTGGAATCAGCTTAACAAGAAAACTTAAAACATTTCTAAAGGACACAAAAGACTTGAGTTGATAAAATTCATTCCATGTTATTGAATAGGAAGACATCATAGACACCTTTGATGTCAATTCTCCTTAAGTTGTTATTGGCCATGAATTGTTTATTCTTCATAAATTTGATGTAATCCCGATAAATATACCAATAGGATTTTTTAATATAAATTTATTAAAAAAAATTTTTTTTATTTTTGGCTGCATTGGATCTTCGTTGCTGCATGCAGGCTTTCTCTAGTTGTGGCGAGCGGTGGCTACTCCTTGTTGCAGTGCGCAGGCTTCTCATTGCAGTGGCTTCTCTTGTTGCAGAGCATGGGCTCTAGGTACGTTGGCTTCAATAGTTGTGCCACGCGGGCTCAGTAGTTGTGGCTTGTGGGCTCTAGAGCACAGGCTCAGTAGTTGTGGCACACGGGCTTAGTTGCTCCGTGGCATGTGGGATCTTCCCAGACCAGGGCTTGAACCTGTGTCCCCTGCATTGGCAGGTGGATTCTAAACCACTGCACCACCAGGGAAGCCCATACCAATAGGATTTTAAAATAGGTATGCTACTTCTAACCTCATGTGGAAAAAGAAAAGTATAAATAAAGAGCCAGGGAAAATTGTGAAAGAGAAAATGAAAGATGATTAAATCAACCAAGTTATAAAGCCTCAATAGTTAAATAGTGCTGTACTGGTACACAAATAAAGAGATCAATCATAGGATGAAAACTGTAGATTCAGAAATATGTCCAAGTACATATGAGAATTTAGTTTATGATAAAGGTTGCATCTCAGCCCAGTGAAAGGGAAAGATGAGATTATTCAGTAAGAGCGATGGGGACAATCGAGCAGACATTTGGGGGTGAAAAGTTGGATTGACCATTCAAACCTTACACAAGAATATATTCCAGACATATTAAATGTTAAAAATACTGCCATAAAAGTACTAGGATAGGCATAGGAAAATCGTTTCATACATCCAAATGGAGGAAGCTTTTCTAACCATATATCAAAACCAGAAGTCACAGAGATAGCAACTGGTAAGGTAGACTACATAATTAAAAAAAAAAAATTCTGTGTCAGGCTTCCCTGGTGGCGCAGTGGTTGAGAGTCCGCCTGCCAATGCAGGGGACACGGGTTCGTGCCCCGGTCCGGGAAGATCCCACGTGCCGTGGAGCGGCTGGGCCCGTGAGCCATGGCCGCTGAGCGTGCGCATCCGGAGCCTGTGCTCTGCAACGGGAAAGGCCACAGCAGTAAGAGGCCCGCGTACCGCAAAAAAAAAAAAAAGAAAAAAAATCTGTGTCATGAAAACCACCATAAACAAATGACAGAATACAGAGTTTGCTCATAAGCCTGGGCTTGGTGGCCTATACATTTATTCCGCTACTATCCTTCATATTTAAAAATTGACATAACACTGAAAAATAAATAAATTAAATAAATAAATCAGAGGGTCAGTGGCCCATGTGAGGACTTTTCAAATGAAATTTCAACATAGAAAATTCAGTAAGAAAAAAATGTTAGCTGTCATCAATAATCCTAGTTGCCTACAATCTTACCACTAAGTGTTAATCATTGTTTGGATAAATCCTTCTGGTCTTTTACTTATACAGATACACATAAATCCTTCTGTTCTTTCATCTATATAAATATATACAATTTTTTGAACAAAATGGAATCATTCTGTACATGCCATTTTGTTGCTCTTTTCACTCGATGATGTGTGGAACATTTTATAGATAATAAACATTACCTTCAATATCATTTTTAATGGCTATATACTAGCCCATTTTATAGCTCTAATGAAATATATTATTGATACTTGGGCTATTTCTAATCTTTTGCAATTAGCCAAATAAAAATAAACCTGAACTACTCAGACACGTTCCTAATTAATGAGGGTATATGTGTGATTTGCAAGTACGGTCACTGTGTTGGGTGCTTGTCCCTGGCCTACTTGGCCTGAAGTCTTTAATCCAGACAAATCTTCCCATGCTTGCCTGCTGTGCCCTAGGCTGTCCTCTCTGTAGCTACAGTGTGCCTGATTGAGTGAGGAAAAATGCTACAAAGAGCTTTTCCAGCTGGCTTGAAGTCAAGTGTTCTATAACATGTTTGCTCAGAAAGCCAAGGGGCTACTGATTGATGCTACTGCCACACTGGAAAACAAGCCTTTGATTTGGGATCACTCCTTTTATACTGAGCTGCACTGTTCAGTACCTTAGCCACAAGACACGTGTGGGCATTTAAATTTAAGTATAAATACATTTAAATTGAAACTAAATTAAAAATTTAGTTCTTGGTCACAATGGCCACATTTCAAGTGCTCAGCAGCCAGCCATTTGTGGCCTGTGGCTGCTGTAATTAGGACCTTTCCTTCACCGCGGAGAGTTCTATTGGACAGTGCTGGCAGGAGGCACCCCACTGCCTGTTAAGACCTCCACCTGCATTGCCTTGTCCGCAATGCCCAGGTGCGGTAAGCAATCAAGACTACGTTATGTTAAGGATTCAGTTAAATTTTGAAAAAACAAAACATTTTTGGCACTGTTACTATATGCATCAAGCCTTTTATTTATTATCCTGTAGCCTGGCTATTTTTGCCCATTTAAAGATGAGGTTTCTGAGAACCAAAGATGAAGTAACTTGGACTTGGCACATGGCTAATACGTGGGGGACAGGGCCTTTGATCGCCAGTCTTTGAATCCCAAGTGCCCCACTGGCTTCACCACGTCCTGCTACTCTCCTCACACAACATTTTATTCCCTGTCCAGCAGTGAAGGGACTCCTGCCCAGAAGTAAATTCTCCTTCTGTATCCAATTTTAGACAAATGTTTCAGGGTAGTAAAAATGAAAGTAATTTATTCATGAAGTAAAGCTGTTTTTCTATTGAAATTATTTATGCTTCCTGTTTCTGTTTCTAGCTTGAGCAATTTCGGACCCTGCTCTTCACTTCTGAGGGGGAGAAAGAGAAAAGAATGGTGGACAACTTCCGCCCCCTTCAGCCCCTAATGAACTGCACTGTCCGCTCATCCTTCCCTCACGACTATGTGCTGAACATACAAGCAAAACCCAAGTCGTCTACCAGCCAAGTGACCCCCTTAGACGCCATTATCTAGGTGGTATCTTGCTTAAATATATACTAGTTCTTTAAAAATTGCTAACTAGACTCTTCTAAATGCCTGCATTTAATAATTATGGATGTGCCTTTCTTGGTATGGCAGCGCTCCTTAGTCTTTGAGGGAAGCTCTTTGGTAAACAAATTCTTACTTTTATTGATAATGATGTTTATCATTAAGTACCAGCAAGAGACACAGATTTCTCTTATAGCAACCTGCTGGTAATTGTAATGTCTTTCTATGTGTGACATTTTTGAGCTGTCTTTTTACTGATATGTTTATCAACTGGTGGTTCTACAGAGTTATAAGTAGGGATGATAATCAAAATATTTAACAACTGGTAAGGCACAGACACTGAGCATCCAGAATGCAGGCTTTTCAGAAACAGCCACAGGACCCAGATTGGTACTTCTTGGCTGAACATTGGCTATGGTTTTAGGTATATTTTATTTTAAAACATGAATGAGTATTCTTTTATAAGGCCTTCTCAATGGGTATATTTGCCTCGATTTTCACTTGTCATTACTAGTACAGGACATGATTACTTACTATCAATTTATAATATAGAAAAAATATTTTGTGAGCTTCCTTGGCGGCGGAGTGGTTAAGAATCTACCTGCCAAGTCAGGGGACACGGGTTCGAGCCCTGGTCTGGGAAGATCCCACATGCTGAGGAGCAACAAAGCCCGTGCGCCACAACTACTGAGCCTGCGCTCTAGAGCCCATGAGCCACAGCTACCGAGCCCGCATGCCACAACTACTGAAGCCCGCCCGCCTAGAACCCGTGCTCCGCAACAAGAGAAGACACCGCAATAAGAAGCCCGCGCACCGCAACAAAGAGTGGCCCCCGCTTGCCACAACTAGAGAAAACCCGTGCGCAGCAACAAAGACCCAACGCAGCCAAAACTAAATAAAAATAAAATAAATTTATTTGAAAAAAAAGAAAAAATATTTTGTAATCCTAAAAACACAAGGGTTTACTTATATCCGGAAATCCTTTTGCATTTCTGAAAGTCAGATGTTTTACTTAAAGGCTTGATCATATAGAAAGCATATGCAGAATATTTTAAAGAAAAAGCTTTAAGTGCCTAGAACTTAAAATTCTTTCATGATCCATTCACAGAAATACTTTTCAAAAGGCTAGTAATATAAAAGTCTATGGTTTATAATATTATTTTGAATTGTTTGTACATTGTTTCATAGAATACAATATTTTCCACAATGACAGAACTATCTTGACTTCCCTTTAAAACTATCTGAACTTTATTTCATTAGTTGAGGTTCTGTGCAAGGCAGGTGATCAACATAAATCTCCTAATTTATACAGTGGTTTAGAAGACTTTTGCAGGGACTTCCCTCGTGGCCCAGTGGGTAAGACTCCACACTCCCAATGCAGGGCACCCGGGTTTGATCCCTGCTCAGGGAACTAGAACCCACATGCATGCCGCAACTAAGAGTTCGCATGCCGCAACTAAGAAGCTGCATGCCACAACTAAGACCTGGTGCAGCCAAAATAAAATAAATAAATAATAAAATAAATAAACATTTAGAAGACTTTTGCTATAATAATAGGGAAAGAAACCTGTCAAATAGGCTAAAACCTAGATAATTCTACATATTCTGAGGAATCCATGCCACTGTTGCCCTTGCTTGTAAATATGTGGAATGTTTTTAATTGCCTATGTCTGTGTTCAAATTCAATACTGCATTTACTAGTATATTTCTTTCATTAGTATGCTAGTCATCCGATCTGCAAGATAAGGTTGGATGAATATACTTAACACTACTGAACTATACACTGAAAAAGGTTAAGATGGCAAATTTTATTTTAATGTGTATTTTACCACCATTAAAAATAACTAATAAATTCAGTAGGGAAAAAAATAGGGTTGGAGTTGTATGTGTAAGTTTGGGGGCATATCTCTGCTCTTAAAAAAGGAAGGGGGTAAAGGCATTGCTTCTAGAGTGCATGCCTTCTCTGGAAAAGGGAAGCATATATGCTCTAGGAAATGAATAAAATCCTTTAAAAGATTAATATGGGGAAAAAGTTATGTTAACTTTATATATTTTTTCTGTTTTAAACCATAGTTATCTTTAAAAGGTAAACACACAAGATATGCATTTTTCAGGGCACACAGGCTTCCCTCCTAGGTCTCTTGCAAATTCTTAATGCAAAATTCAATTGCAGTGAGTCTTCCAAATTGACTCACAGAATGCCTGACTTGCCCTTCTATCTCAGAGATACAAAGGATGTATTCATAGGGTGTGTCCCTGCTGGCCACCCCTGATCAACTTACATCTGGTGTTCTGGTATAGTTATTAACAGCACCCTCTTCCACTCTCAACCATGTCCTGCTTTGCATGACAAATTCTTGGTCACCTTCTCTGCAGAGGTTATGGAAACTGCCTTGGGGATGTGGTTTCTTCCATGCCTTAGTCAGATGACCCCCAAGGGGGTGATGTAAATTCCCTGGCTACTGATACACCCTCAGGGGAAACTTTTCAAGTCTTTTCTGCCTCCAAAAAGTGTTTTACTTGTGCCTTCCTAGACATGAAGGGGGAAAGTGGGCTTGAGGGCTGTCAAAGGGCTTGAGAAAGAATTCTGTACTAAAATTGCTGCTTATCTTCATTAAATAATATAATAAAACCCTTTCTTTACACTATTAATATTTGTTTAATGACTTTTTCTTCCTATTAGTTTTTTTGAGCATGTAAGGTATCTATACAATTAGCGAGACAACGTGAGATCAGAGAGTGACTGGAAAACTCATGAGGGATTTACTAGAGAGGCAGGAATGGAAAGATCCACCCGCTGCTCCTCAGCTCACTATGGAACCAGTGCACAATCTGCTGACATCAGGGCAAGCTTCTAGCCCCTTTCTCCTTTCCCAGGGCTACATGGGTTAGGGTGAGGTTGGCTATTCTAAAACCAGGCATCCACCTCAAAAAAGTTTAGGAAGATGTCTTTCCCTTGCTCACTTTGGGGACACATTCTTTTGGCACAGTATTAGCAAAACTACAGTATTGTAATCACTTTAGGTATTTTTCAGTTCACTAGAAGACTCAACTTTTGATACCTATTCTATGTAATGTTTTATTGTCTTTTTAATTCAACTTTAAGTTCTTTCATGCAAAATTTTATTGATCAAAATGGTTACAGTTCAATTAAGCAAATAAGCTCAATTTGACCATGTAATTAGTACATATTAACAATACTGGCTACTTTGCATGTAAATAGTAATGCATTCTTGTTGTTAGGAACTGAATGTTTGTATCCCCCCAAAGTTCCTGTGTTGAAATGTAACCCCCAATGTGATGCTATTAGAAGGTGGGGCCTTTGGGAGGTGACTAGGTCATGAGGTTGGAGCTCTCATGATGGGGTTAGTGCCTTTATAAAAGAGACCACACAGAGCTCTCTCAGCCCTTCCACCATGTGAGGATACAGAGAGATGGGCATCTATGAATCAGTACGGAAGTACTCACCAGACACTGAATCTGCCATCTGCCAGCACCTTGATCGTGGACTTCCCAGCCTCTAGAACTGTGAGAAATAAATTCCTGTTATTTATAAGCCATCCAGTCTTTGGTATATTGTTATGGCAGCCCGAACAGACTAAGACACTTGTCCCTGTGTACATTTTGATCCCTGCTTATCAAATTCAATCTACTCTTCGAAAATGGTACTTTGGTTTCAGTTCTAGGTGGGGATATCAACTCTGCCACCATTCCAGGAGTTGTGTTGCTTTGAGCTTATCACTGGACAAAAGAATCAATAAGAATATTAACTGAATGAAGAATAACTTTATTCACTAATAACTGAATAAGAATTGATTGAATAAAGAATAACTACCACTGGATAGTTCCCTGCTCCAAAGAAAACTTTTAATCAGTTGCACAAATATAGATTTGCATGCATTTTCATATTAATATGCATTTATAAGTATCTTATCTTGCTATTTTAAGTGATAACTGTAATCTAGAAAATATATAAAGCCTTTGGCATAGCAATGAGTGTTGGAGAGGACTTGAGACCCCACTGTATGTCCTTGAATAAATCTGGTGATTAATACTGAAATTAATGGTAGGTGAGAAATGAAATGTTCTTTCCTGAGAATTTCTGCATTGACCTTTCAGTGAGTCCTAGTACCATTGTCCTACTAGAGCAAGAAAAAAAACAAATTAATTTAAAGAGTTCCAACCTGGCATTCAGAAAGTAGACATTTCTTGCTCTCCCTTTATGCTTGCAATAAATGAAAAATACATTTATGGATCATTCTTTGGTCACTTTATAATAACTAAGACTCATATTTAGGGACTTCCCTGGTGGTCCAGTGGTTAAGACTCCGCACTCCCACTGCAGGGGACACGGGTTTGATCCCTGGTCCGAGAAAAAAACAAAACAAAACCCTCATATTTAGTAATAGCAGTATCTATTACATCATTTATATGAGTAAAATATTTTCTTTAACTTTTTAAGAACAATCAGCTATTTTCTACTGACAAAATAAGACAAAAGTTTAGGCCTTTTCCCATAGAGAGGGGATAAACCAAAACATATATATTTGAGAATAAGTAGATGTTGTATTTCAGCCACCAAGAAAAATAGAAAATACATGTTACATTGCAGAACAAAGATAAATTTGTTCTATTTATCAGAATATCATAGTAGAATGTATCTTTGCATTACATTTTTACATACCTTATTTTATCTTATGATTTATCGAATTCAAATGATGGTAACTGTAGTTTGGAAATGGAATTGGCTTTTAGAGTAACTTCTGTAATGAAATTAACTTGAGCAATTTAAGCTTATTCATGAAAATGAACGCAGCCGTTAACTGTTGAAGATAAACCTCTAACTCCTATAAAAGGAGATTTGCGTTCATTTCTAAATCATAATAGAATAAAATCGAAATCTGTATCCCTTTTTAATTAGAAGTATCTTCCTAGAAGACATTCTTAGTTATTCTGACATGAAAGTCTGGTCTGATTCATAAGAAATGTTACAGCAACCCAAACACTGATGCTTTCAGAATGGCAGCAATTCTCAGCATAAGCCCTGGTCACAGGAACCAGCAAAACTGGAGATTTGCACAGCTATATTTTGTGCCACCCAGGGCATTCTCTAGTTAGAGGCCGTAACTGCCAAGTCTTCACCTTCAAGAAGTTTAAGATTTAGTGCCAGATGCAGTCTTATGAAGGCAACAAAGTACAGTATAGTGTGATAGGTGTTATAAAAGGTGAAATACTTGTGCTGAGAGCACCCGCAGGACAAGTACCTAACCCACTCTTGAGGGGGTTGGGAAGTTTTCACGCTGCCGCTGCCGTTAATAACAGATAAAGTTTTGGGGACACTAACTATTGCCAGGCACTATGCCAACATATAGCATTCCCTTGATTTTTACTGATGAGAAAACTGAAGACTAAACATTAGGAACTGGGAGTTCCCTGGCAGTCCAGTGGTTAGGACGGCCAGAAAAAAAAAAATTAGGAATTTACTCAAGATCAGAGAGCCAAGCCTTGAGTTTCCCAGTCCATCCAACTCCAAAGTCTATGTCCCTAATTACCGATGCACTGAGCTGGACAAGCTCCACTTGGAGGCTTGTTACTGCAAGTGTGTTTCTAAGAGGGAGTAGGGCAGTTTATGAAGAGTTTGGGCTTCTGCTGAATGATTTCAAGGAGGGACTAGGGAAACAGGCAGCTTAGTAATTGGGTATCTCAGTAATTTTGATTTGGAGGAGAGAGGGGAAAAAGGTAAGCCAGGGAAGTTATCCAATTATCAAAAGATGGGGCTTGTTAATCCTTTTGCAGTCGCAACCTGTCCTTGGGAGAAACACTTTTTTTTGGTCTTGTCCCTGGCCTTGTATGTGTAAATCACGGTCTAATTATTAGCAGGGTTTATTTTGTTTTCTCAGTCCCTTACCCAATTGCCCCAGTTTAATTCCTTGTCACCTCTCACCTAGATTGCGTTATTCCGGCTGTACCCTTTATATTGCAAACCAGAGTAATTTACCTAAAACACAAATATGATCACAACAAGCCTCAACTTAAAATCTTGCAATGGTTCTCTGTTCCCTACAGAGCATAATTAAGGCTTCTTGGAATGGCCCTCCTCCACAACCTAGCCGCAGCGGTATTCAAGGAATACCGCTGTATTCCTTGAAACTTTCAAATTGCCCTTTATATTCGATGGCCAAAATTCTCGCGGTTCTGGCAGATCCCACCTTGCTTCACCTCTTAGTGCCTTTGCTTATGCTGGTTTACCTGCAATTCCATTACCACCCTCTCCACCTGAGTAAAGGTCGTCTGCCTTCAAAGCAACTCAGGCATCAGAAAGCTCTCCCTGAATCTCCAGGCGGACTATGTTAAGTAATCTTAGCTGCCTGTACCATATTATCTAATCTATGAATTGGTCCTTCTCTGCCTCTAGATTGTAAATTCCTTGGGAGTAGAGGTTGCACCTTTGCAGCCTCGGTAGTTAACTTCGCCTATAGAGCCGGCAGGTGTGAATGGAAGGGGGCGGCGTAAGGAGCTTTGTCTAAGGCGTTGATAGGTCGAACTATGGAAGGAGCCAGAGCCTCGGACTGGAAAGCAAGGCGAGCAGCGTGAGAGATGAGGCTTTGTGAATGGACGAGAAAGAGGGAGGTGTGGCTTTAACTTCTTGGCCACAAGACACCTCACAATGAGGTGGGGAGAGGGAGTGATAACGCACTGGGGAAGCGCTACGAGGGAAAAAGTACTTACAAGACGGGTTAGGAGCCCAGAGGATTTTTCGAGAAGGAGACATTTACTTGTGCAGGATTTTGGAAGACGAGCTACCTACCTCCCGTCGTCCGTCTTTGGTCAGCCAAGGGGGAGACAGGCTACCGCCCCTCTAGCCCGAGAGGCCGCGCAGCGACCGCGACTCCGCGACTGCGCGCGACCGCGGACGCCTTCAAGCCTGCCCCTTCCGGCCGACCGTTGCGGGGCGTGGCGGTGCTGGCAAGATGGCGGCGTCCGAGAAAATGATGTTTCCGGAGAAGCTAAGGTGAGCTGGGTTGGGGGAGGTGAGCTGACAAGAAAAGGGGACGGAGCGGACCGAGGCTGGGTTGAAGGATTTGCAGGCAGAAAGGGAGCTGGGCCAAGCAGATAAGCCACCGCGGCAGCTCGATCCCTTCCCTCGGCGCGCCCCGGACTGTCCGCGGGCGTCTGTGGGCTCAGGGAGGCGAGGAGGGGTACAGGTGGTGGGATGGAGAAGACCTGCCGTCTGCGCATGGGATGGCGAGGCGATGGTAAAAGCTTGCTCTGTAATTAAAACACGGGAAGCAAGGTTTCACTTTCGAGCGCCCAAACGAGTTCCTGTCATTGGGCGCGGAGGAGAGGGGAGCTCAGGCACCGTTGCAGGTGCGGCCACTGACGCTGGAGTGTGTTTGTGTCTTGTTTTTCCAGCCACAAAAAGTACAGGGCCGCCCTGAAGAAGGAGAAACGAAAGAAACGTCGGCAGGAACTCGCTCGACTGAGAGACTCAGGTAATGGATTCATCCTGTTTTCTGTGTATGCAACTGCTCCCCCGACTCCCGTCCTGAGGCCCCAGTGTCAGAAGGAAAGCAAGTACCGTATCCGAAAAAGAATTGCTGTGGCCACGGCCTCTCAAAAAGTTGTGTTAGACCCATGACAGAAACAATGTTAACGTACTCAAGGGGTGGGGGGGAAGTCACGGTGAATCATCACCCACTGATTACGTGTTAGGTATTTATGAAGTATCTAATATTACAGGTGCAGGCATTACGAATTACAGTAGCTGGCCCAGCCTTTGCACGTAGTAAGTATTCGGTGAATAGTTTTCTTTGTAAAACCAGCAGGAGTCGACAGTTTTAGACACTTTGCAAGTTTTTCTTAAATTTCACTAACATGAGAGACCCCTTGTTGACATTATTTAAACATATATGCATAAAATTAGTTGTGAAACTTACTTGACTTATAAAGCGATATACTTACAAATCACAAAACCAAGTGAAATTATACAATTATACATCCAGTCCCCTGCAGTGGAAGCTCAGAGTCTTAACCACTGGACCGCCAGGGAAGTCCCCATATCTACATTAATGTAGTGTTAGGGATGATGGGAAATAGATGCTCACAACGTGAATATGGTACTGAGTGGAGTTTGGAATGCCACTACTACTGTTGCCCTGTGGTTATTTATCACTTTTTTTTCCTATTAAAATACTGTGGAACCTTCATCTGTACTGATGGTGGTGTCATTTGGCCTTCATGGCAGAATCTAACATTTGTATATTAAACCTACCTGTTTAATGAACTTAGTTGTAAAGTTGTATAGTGTAGTTATAAATGCAGACGAAAGCACTGAAATCACGCAGGAGTACTGAGTTATAATGGTTACCATACACATTAGCCAGAATATGCCTGTTAAATTATCCTAGACAATTCTTGAAGTCCACAGATTCAAGGAACCAGGATTCTCCAGCCTTGAGAAAATAGCCATGGAGGTTTTACTTACCATTGGAGTTACCTTGTAACTGTTTCAGTAGCATTACTTGGGATACTTAGAATGGAAGGGGCAGTGCGTTGCCCTGCAGCCTGTATTAGCATCTCTGTTTTATTCGTTCAAAACTGGCCCACTAGAGGCAGGATAAAGCATCAGGGATAAAAGGAAAAACAGGTTAGGTTGACGTTATTGATGCCCTTAGTGATTTCCCAGCCTCCTTGAAGTTTTCAGCTTCCTTACTTTGTTAACCTGTTTTCTTGTAACATGCCCCCACTTTTAAAAACTCTTCTTTTTCTTTACATATTTTAAATCCAACATATTCCATTGATTTTTTATTCCCCTTTAACTTTGTAAAGTGCATTTGGAGTGAGCCTCTGTGAATAGGCAGGTGGATGTGTCCTTTGGCAGTTTAGTCAATTGAAGAATGCAGCTCACTGGTCTGCTCGTGATTATATATGGCTAATGGCAGATCCAAGACTAAGCGCTTGTCTCTGGATGGCTGCTCCTGCTTTGGCCTACTCCAACTCACAATTCTTTACTTAGTGGTGCTTCATGAATAGTGTGGTCTACCAAATGCTGCTGTGGGTTGTAGCACACGTTGCATGGGCAAACATTACAGAAGGCTAGAATATAGAAGTATTCTGTAAGGATTGCTATAAGAGTGAATTGGCAAGTGATTAGTAGAAATTTCTGGAGTATCAACCTCTCTATTACAGGTAGCCTCTTTAGCCCCCAGTTCTACTTTAAATAATCTGAAACGAGCTGCATTATCAGAAATTAAGGTAACATGAAGGATAAAAAGCAAGTTGTAAAATTGTAGCATGATTCCATATACAGTTACATGTATAATACAATTAGATATACATTTGACCCTTAAACAACATGGGTTTTGAACTGCTCAGGTCCACTTATATGTGGATTTTTTTCAATAGTAAACACTGTTGTACTACATGGTCTGCAGTTGGTTGAATCCAAGGATGCAGAACCACAGATACAGAGGAATCATGGATGTGGAGAGCCGACTCTAAGTTATACATGGATTTTCAACTGCGTGGAGGGCCAGTGCCCATTAACCACTGCATTGTTCAAGGGTCAGCTGTATGGTGATTATCTAGGACTGGGTGAGTCTTTGGTTAGACCTATACTTAATATATGTGACAGACAATATCTTTTTCCTTTTAGCCTGAGATCTTCTGTTATATTTCCTTAAGATCACTTCAGTTTTCCTCCTTTTTTTCCCTCACATTTAAATTCTGAGTAGAAGAGGATATAAATTTTTATTATATTAAAACTTATTTTCCCATGTTTTCATTTTATTTTTATTTTTTTGCGGTACGCGGGCCTCTCACTCTTGTGGTCTCTCCTGTTGCGGAGCACAGGCTCCGGACACGCAGGCTCAGCGGCCACAGCTCACGGGCCCAGCCGCTCCGCGGCATGTGGGATCTTCCCGGATCGGGGCACGAACCCGTGTCCCCTGCATCAGCAGGCGGACTCTCAACCACTGCGCCACCAGGGAAGCCCCCATGTTTTTATTTTGAAAATGTTCCAATGTACAGAAAGTTGAAAAAATGGTTCAATAAACATCCATGAACCCTTCGTCTAGATTTGTCAATTGTTAACATTTTGCTTTACTTTCTCTCTCTATATAGATAGATCCATATGTACAAATTTTTTCTGAACCTTTGCGTATCAGTTGCATATCCATACCCCTTACCCCTAAATACTTCAGCCTGCATCTCTTAAGAATAAGGACCATAATACTAAACAAAGGAACATTAATTCAGTAATATATATACAGGCCATATTTAAACTTTCCCAATTCAAGTTTGATTATTTTGAAAAGCTCAAGCCAGTTGTCTTGTGGAATGCTCTGCATTCTAGATTAGTCTGTCTTCTGATTGGCTTCAGGTTACACTCTGTAGCAAAATACTACAAAGCTGATGCTGTATAGCTCTCATTGCATACATCAGGGGGCCTCTCATGTCAAGTTGTTCCACTCCTAATGATGCAAGTGTGGTCTAAGTGTTGCCAATCAGATGGCTCCATTGAAAAAGATGTTCCTGCCTTTGTAATTAGTACTCGTCCGAGGGCTGATATTTTGAGATAGTGTAAATAAATATTCTCTTCCCAAATAAATATCCTCTTCCTACAGTGGGGTGCAGAAGTGAGGACTTTTCTACTTAAGTCTTTCTACATTTTTTAGTTGCCATTCTTCTATACAGGTGGATGTTCCCTCTCACACCTCACCATCTTTTGGGGTATCACTATGGAACCATCAATAAATTTTTTAAGTTTAATGTGTTATCTACTACCATTATTGTTCTTTTCAGTGTTCACATTGTTCCAATTTGGGCGATTGGGGCCCTTTATTATTAGAAAGTTTTAAAAACAGGTTTGTACCATAATTGTAAAGATGAAAAATTGTATGTAAGTTCTTCCCTGAATTATTGACCAAGGTTTTGTAATATACAGATAGTGTACTAAAACACTGACATTCCTTCAGGACTCTCACAGAAGGAGGAGGAGGAGACAGTGGCGGATGCCTTTATTGAAGAACAACGACGAGAAGAAGAGAGGCTGCTGGAGAGAGAGAGGTCAGCACTGATTGAAGCGCTTCCTGCGAACCCAGTTATTTTACTTGAATATCCTAAATCTTCGCTAACTAGGGCGGGTCTTCTTTATACAATCTTATACAAAATAGGTCTTATAAAATACCCTGGATAAACTGTTTAAACCGCTAGCTGATGGGCTGAAAAAAGATATTGTCTTTAAAAAAAAAAGTATTATTCACTCTTTTTGCTCATTGGTAAATGTTTTTGAAAAAAAATCCAAATAATTAAGAAGTGTAAACAGTGAAAGGGCTTCAGTAAACTCAACACACCAAAGATAGCCCCAATAAGAAGGTAAGAAAGAAACTGTAGATGTAGTATATATGTATATTTCTATTGTGGGATGATATTTATACCTATTTTTCTATAAATTGCTTTTTTCGCTATATAGGACATTTATTTCGGTGTTGGTGCAGAGATCTAATTCAAGCATTTCAATAGCAACACAGTATCCATTGTATGACTGGCATAATTTATTTTCTATTCATAATTTATAGTTCTCTACTGATGGACATTCAGGTTATTTACTATTAAATAACATTCACTTACCATGTACTATTAATGTACTCTTATTTACTATTAATTTATTATTATTTTACATTCAGGCTTTTTACTATTATAAAAAAGTTGCAGTGAGTATCCATGATTATAAATCCATGGTAATTGTCCTATTATTTCCTTAGGAAAATGCCTAGAGGAGAAGTACACGTAAAAGGTAGATGGGCAGGTAGAAAGGGCATCCAGATTGCAGTTTGCAGCCTTTCCAAGAGTGAAGCAAGGTGCCCATCTCTCCACACCTTCACTCACACTAGGCATTATCAGTTCTTAAAACTCCTTTAGTGAAAAGTCATATTTCATTGTTTCAAATGTACATTTAAAAAAATTTTTTTATTAGAGTATAGTTGATTTACAATGTTGTGTTAGTTTCTGCTGTATAGCAAAGTGTATCAGTTATACATATACATATATTCACTCTTTTTTAGATTATTTTTCCATATAGGCCATTACAGAGTATTGAGAAGAGTTCAAATGTACACTTCTTAATTAGTAGGGTTGAGTATCTTTTTATATATTATCTATTTGTAGCTTGCTTAGTTCTTGCACCTTTCTCTTTTGGGATTCATTTTTTTTTAAGTTTGTTGTGCAAGCAATGTTATTACTTGATTAAGGATATTAAGCCTTTATCTGTCCTGTGTGTGATGTATATTTTTCTCATTTGTCATCAGTCCTAACTTGGCTTATCGTGTTACTCACATAATTTGATCTCCATGTCGTCAATTTCATCATGATATCTAGCCTTGATGTCTGATTTCAAAAGGCCGCCCCCATCCCAAGTTGACAAAAATATTCTGCTCTTTTTCTCTTTTGGTATTTTTCAGGGGGTAGTTTGTTTTTTATTCCCCAAGTGGTACACAATAATATGAATCTGCTTAATGCTACTCGACTGTACACTTAAATGGTTAAAATGGTAAATTTTATGGTATGTATACTTTGCCACAATAAAAAATAAATAAATAATTTTTTAAAGGAGAAAAAACTTTATAGGTCCTGTCTAGCTATTTAGTGTGTTCACTGGAAATGTTGCTTCTTTTCTTGTAATTAGTTCCTGTTACCCAAATAAGCACATAAATAGGTGGAAATATGAAAATGCTGAAAAAATAAAAAAAAAGTAGTAATGATTGGGAACAGGGAGTTGGATTCAGCCAGATCTGCATTGCAGTCCTGGCCCTGCTACTTACTAGCTGTGTTCAAGTTGCTTAATCTCTCTAAGCTTCAATTTCCTCGCCTTAAATATGGACATAAACAGTGACTTTCCTGGTGGTCTAGTGGTTAGGACTCCACGCTTCCACTGCAGGGGGCACGGGTTCGATCCCTGGTTGGAGAACTAAGATCTCACATGATGCAGCCAAAAAAAAAAAACCATCAATCATAGTACCTACAGCATAGAATTGGGGAGATTAAATGAGATTAATGAGGTGGTAAGTGTATAGCACTTAACGTAGTGTGAGCAGATAGGAGGTGCTGTAATATCTCTGGTTGTTCTTACTACTAGAGATTTCTGTAATGATAAAGATGATATGTATAGCATGAAATAGGGAAGTCATTTTTCTTGCTTTCCCATTTACTTAGATGCTTCTTTTAAATCACATACACATGTCTTTGTGTTCCCTTGATTTTTGTTTATTCCTATATGAGTTGCATAATACTTTATTGTTGAAAAGCAGGAAACTTATTTGAAAATACTGAATGGCTTTATGTACTACTTAAAAGGAGGTGTATAGTGTCAAAGGTAAACAGAGCCGGACATTAAAGTGCAGGAACAGACTTTATTCAGTAACTCCCGACAGTAGGGGAAGACCTGAGCTCCATTCTGGTTTGTGTAGAGGCGATTTGGGCATTTAAAAGGGAGAATGAGGAAAGTGAACAGTACCAGGAGTTGATCCCTGTGAAGGTGACCAGGAAGCTGTGTTCGTTAGTGGGCAGTTAGGGAAGTTAGGGCTTTATCCTCCCACAGAGACTGGGAGCCAGAGGCCTCATCCTTCTTAATGACTGCATTTCCCAGGAATGGCTCTCAGGCCCTTGAGAGAGACCCTTATGAGCTGTAAGAGACACATATTCATAATTACGAGCCCTTTTGAGTAATGCTCTAGGAGAGGGAAGGCAGAGGCCTATTATCAGGTGTTGGCCAGAGCAAACAGTCCATTTTCTAGGCAGCATTGAGTTTTCTCAGGCAGGCATTTTAATGTCTTGGGGGGTGGGAGGTGATGGGGTCATCCTAGGGACACAGCCTTATGCTGCTAAAAGGCATGCTAGAGTTTGCTCAAGTCTCTTAGTGCAGGGGGTTGACAGAGTTATGTGCCCAGAGTTCTAGAGTTCTCAGTATTATATCCAAGTTACTAAGTTTTAAAGTTTGTAATATTTTACTCTTTTGTGGTCTTAAATATATATACACTTTGGTTCAGTTTATTTACAATGAATATCTTCCTCAAAAGGTTCATGAATCAGAGTTCTGCACACTGAAACATTTACATATACTCTATGACATACACAGGAACGTTGACACATGCAACATGCCAGTGTCTACTATGGCTAAAAGATGGGTTCCTGGAATCTGTAGTTGGAAATGGAATACTTTTTCCCATCAAGTATTTGAAATTGTGGTTGGGTCCCCAGACTAGACATAAAACCTTATTTAACTGCTAATGTCCCTGAAGTAATATAGAACAGTTTCTCATATTTCATTTTCCTTTTACAAATTCAGTGGGAAAATGCAGTCTAGGTTTTAAACACTTAATCGGCTAATAAACTTTTGAAATATAACCCATCTTTAAGTTGGAAACTTGTGGTATTGGATATCTGAGACACCATTTTAAGATAAGATCACTCTTTATAATTGGTCATTTCTAAAAATAAACTAGACACCCACTAATTTGTTTTTGTAACTCTTTGTCATCTTTTCTTACAACCTGTAGCTTTCTTTATTTTAAAGACATGATCACGATGTAGTTCTATTTTTCTTCTCTCAGCAGTTAGGTGCTTGGGGCAAACCACAGGAGTCTCTCAGCTGTAAAGAGTAGCAGTCCAAGGGTTTACAGCAGGAGATGTCAGGTTTTTATCATGCTGCAATCCTGCGACGGGCACTTTCAAAATGCATAGAACAGGAAGGGTAATACTTCCTGAATGTGAAAAGCTGGATGTTACTCACTTTATTGGCACCTACACATCACTGTGGTCAACCTAAAGGGAAAGCTAGAGTGTCATTGTTTTGTGTAAAGATATTACAGATAGGAAATGTAGAAGTAGTGATTTTATGCTGTCACCCTCTAGGAGGATATGCTAAAATGTAGTGCTTTTCCAATATCACTACTCATCTCTTGATCCTCTTACCTCCACTTAACTGCTTTCTAGAAAATATCTTTCATGATACTTTCGTCATTCCCAAAATCCCATTTGCTATCATATATGTGTGTGGATGTATTTGTAGATTAGTGCCCATTTCTTTTATCTGATCACATCGTTACATCAATAGGCAAAAATTACATGAGGAGTGGTTGCTGCGGGAACAGAAGGCGCAAGAAGAATTCAGAATAAAGAAGGAAAAGGAAGAGGCAGCTAGAAAACGGCAGGAAGAGCAAGAGGTATGGTATTAATCAGATAACCAGTTAACCAAAACGACTCTCATTGAGTTACATACCTTGAACTTTAAAAATCGGATATTATCCATTTTACCAGTGTTAAAGTTTTTCATTTATTTGCCCCATATGTGAAATGTTGTAAAAAAGTGAGTCTGAAAAATAATTACCTTTCTTCTTTCTTTTTTCCTCTGTAAAGAGAAAGTTAAAGGAAGAATGGGAAGAACAGCAGAGAAAAGAGAGAGAAGAAGAGCAGCAGAAGCTACAGGAGAAGAAGGAAAGAGAGGTGATTCCAGTCACAGGAGGATAGATGCACTGCGTATCCTCTTAGTGAGCGGATGGGGCGGGTGATAGGCTTGAAGGATAAGCTATAGGCATGTCAGGTTTGGACTTGATTTTTTCTTTAGAGTCATGTTTTTAGTTTGGATATACACTAGCGTTTCCTTATGATGCTCTTCTTTGGGTGGGTGCTGTGGCAGATGCCTTAAATGAAGGTTTTTCTTCATCTCTGCCGATTTTACTCTCTATACCAGGGATTGGCCAACTTTTTCTGTAAAGAGCCAGAGTAAACATTTTAGGCTTTATGATCTGTATGGTCTTTGTTGAAAATGTCCAACTCTGCCAGTGTCCCGTGAAAGCAGCCATAGGTAACACGAAAATGAAGGGTGTTGACATGTTCTAATAAAACCTTATTGTTGTATTGATTAAAAACCGGCAGCTGGCCCCTGCCTTACACTTTGTACCACTCTAGAGCAAATGGTGTTCTTCGGAGGTTTTGCTGTATATGGGTTGACTTACTTAGAGAATACTATTTTATATAGTTTCCACCTTTGTTTGATTCATAAGAGACTTCACTGCTTTGGACGTGTCAGCAAGAACTAATAGATTGAAAGAAATCAGACTCAAATATTGAGGGATGAGGAAATATTTTTTGTTATTAAATCTTGACTTCCTTTCTAACTTGTGCTATAAAGGCAATTGTAGCTAACCTATAGTTGCTCACACACAAAAAAAGAATCTATAAGGTATATGTATATATCCTCTATATCTTCCAGGATTGTTTTTAAAGATTGCTTTGGTCTATTTTGCTGCTGTTCCTTAACAGTGTATTTATTTCAAAGATATCACAGCTCATCTTTCCTTGACTGATTCATCAGGATGTATCTTTTCTGTGATAATGCTATGTATGAATAGCACATAAAATTGGGTAATCACCAGATTACGGGGGAAAATGCATTTGTTTACATCCTGGTCATGATGGGGTAGAAGCAACCTTTGTTTCTTTTGTCTCAGGCCATCAGTTAATTCCAGTGCAAATTTTAAACACCCTTATTTGAGTACTGCTTTCCAGATGAGGCGAGATCATGCTAAGTTTTTAGGGGGCAGGAAAGTTGTTTGGAGCTTGTTATTTTTTTAGTAGAGTGTAATAAATTCCCATTTTAACAGTGGAATGTTCTTCAACTGAGGTCTTTCTGGCACCAGATAAAAGCTAACGCTTTTGTTTCAAAGGAAGTCTGGTGAGACATTAAGGAGAAGTGGGTAAAATGAAGTCGATTCTAAGCATATATAAAGGGATCTGCATTCTTTGTTTCTCCTGTAAGCTAGATGCTTCTCTAGGGGTTGGAGATAGGGCAGCGAAAAAGATCTGTACTCATTGAGTTCGGTTTCTAGATGGCGGAACTGAATATAAGCAAGCAAAAAAGGTCATTTGAAGTGCTCTGAGGTAATGTTAAGCGGTATAAAGGAATAAAGCATTAGGAAAAAAAAGAAATAAGGCAGAATGTCATGTGACAGAGTGATTGGGGTAGGAAAGTACTTCTTTCGATTGCCTGTCAAGGAAGACTTCTCCAAGGAGAAGCCGACGTGTGAGCTGACGCCTGAATGCAGAGATCTCAGAGAGAAGGGCTCCAGGCAGAGGGGGGACGCCCTGAGCGTGGAGCTGAAAGGAGGTCAGGGTGCCTGAATCCTAGAGACCAAAGGAAAGAGCAGCAGGGGTGGGGAGAAAGTCAGGAGGGTAGGCAGGGTCATTCATGTAAGGCCTCCTGGGTGGGAAGGACGAGTTTGGATTTTACCTAAAGTGTCATGGGAAGCCATTAAAGGGTTTTTAATCAGGGATTGACTTCATCTAATTTATCGTTACTTTTAACAGATCGTTCTGACTTTTGTATAAAGAATGGGGGATGGGGGTGGGGAGTGGTGACCAAGGAGGCAAGAGTGGATATATGGTGACCAGTTAGAAGGCTGCTGTTCCAGACAGGACATGATGGTGGTTTGGATGACAGTAGTGCTTAATACAGAGAAGTACAGAGATTTGGGGTGAGTCGTGGCACAGTCAACGGAACTCTAGCTGGTAGGCTGAATGGACCGGGAAGGGAATTCAAGTCATACTTTTAGCTTTTTAGTTTGAGCAGGTGGTCAGATGGCAACACCGTTTACTGAGATGGGCATTTAGATGGGCGAGGGGTAGGCAAGAGTGAGGTTCGTTTTGAGCACGTTAAGTTACTGAGGACCCTTACATGGCCAGGCAGAGTTAATCAAGTAAGCAGCTAGCCATATGAGTCTTCTATGTAATGCTTTAAGGAGCTAGGGAAGAGAAGTCTGTCGAACATAATTTAAAACTTATTTAAATGCCAAGGAGGTCAAAATTTACTGGCATATTTCAGGACTGACTTTGCTTTATCGGAAAGTTTGAGATTTTTTATCAATCCCAGTTGCTGCTGTTCATGTCATAATGTAGCGTCTGTTAAATGTCTGTGATGTTTCAGCTAGCATTGTCTTTTATGATATTCACTAATACTTCATCTTAAAAACTAGAATGTGGAATATATGTTCAAATCTACTAAATACTACTCTTACTGAAATTATTAGAAGACTGTTTTGCAATGTGTGCTGTTAAATGTCCTAGTTGAAGGAAGATTCTCAGCTATGTGTCTTTTGAAAGCTTTTCAGAAGATCTGTGCTGTAGAAAGCAAATTAGAACCTGAAGCCTTTTGTGTGCATAAGTTTTTTTTAAAATTGTGACAAATGAGATTCTTAACCAGAGAAACCAGATGTGACTTACCTGACTTTGAGGTTTTCATTAGTCCTATGTTTGCACCATTTGTAGGAAGCTGTGCAGAAGATGCTGGAGCAGGCTGAAAATGAGGTATTTTCAAAACCTTTCATTAAGAACTTGAGACCGATGAACATTTCTTTAAAAACAATATTTCCAATAATGTTAATTTCGTGGTAAGCTACTTAGATCCTGTCTGAATGTGGGAATCACCTGCGTGGCTCTGTGCTTTGTACCGCAGCAACAACAAAATTGAACTGATGAACAAAAGCAAAGATCACCCTGGTGGACTGGACTTGTTTATAGTCCTTAAAGTGTGTGTAACCAGCATCACACACACTTACGCCCAGATGGATGGTTTAACTTGATTCACAGTAACTTAGATTGGTCTCAGGGGGTGGTTCTCTAAGAAGTCCTTCAACCCTTTTAGGAATAGATGGACCGAAGGGAAACTTTGGTGACTGCTCCTGGTAGCCATATCAATGCCTGATGATGGGCAGTGACTGGGAGCCAGGAGAGACATATAGACCCTGTCTCACGACAGTTGTTTGTAGAGTCTAGATTGTGTGATACAACTTGAATGTGTATATTCTTACATGAATCTGTTTTTATTTTTGACCCAAATATTTCGAATACCTTTTAAACATTTACTTCTTCATGGATTTTTAACACCAAGTAAAGTCATGGTTATTTTTAACAGTTGGAAAATGGCACCACATGGCAAAACCCAGAACCACCCATGGAATTGAGGATAATGGAAAAAGATCGAGCTAATTGTCCATTCTACAGTAAAACAGGAGCTTGCAGATTCGGAGATAGGTAACCAATTTTGCTTTATTGTGTCAGAGTTAAGTGACTCAAAATGTTGAGGTTTTTGAGTTGGCACGGGCTGGAGTTTGAAATGTTCATAGGCATCTGCTGCATTCTTGCTGCTGCTCCGGTTCCCCCAGCTGAGCATCCCCTGCTTCCTCCACACCCCCATACCTCTTCTCTGGGTGGGCTTCGTCCAGTTCTCTGGCAGGGCTTCCTTTGCGTTCCTCCCACAGCTATCTGAAGACCTTTTGCTTTTATTTCCTTTCTGCACTTGTATTAGTCCACATGGGACACCTGGGATGGGGAAATAATCTGTTTCAAAAGACTGGAGCAGTCTGGCTTTACTTTTTGAATGGCAAACACTGTACACAAAAGAGGCTTTAAAAACTGGCATGCCGGGCTTCCCTGATGGTGCAGTGGTTAAGAATCTGCTTGCCAATGCAGGGGGCGCGGGTTCGTGCCCCAGTCCGGGAAGATCCCACATGCTGCGGAGCTGCTGGGCCCGTGAGCCATGGCCGCTGGGCCTGCGCGTCCAGAGCCTGTGCTCCGCAACGGGAGAGGCCACAACAGCGAGAGGCCCGCGTACCGCAAAAAAAAAAAAAAAAAAAACTGGCATGCCCAAAGGGATATCTGTGAAAGACAGGATCCGAGTTGAGTAGAGGAAAATTCTAATATGTGTTCTCAGTCTGCTCTGAGTCAGGAACAGACACCAGGTTCAACATCTGGCTTTAGCGGCTGTCAAGGTGGGAAAGTTACTTAAGCCCTCTGTGCCTTAGTTCCCTCACCTGTAAAATGGGGATTAAAAACAGTACCCCTCGGGCTTCCCTGGTGGCGCAGTGGTTGAGAATCTGCCTGCCAATGCAGGGGGCACGGGTTCGAGCCCTGGTCTGGGAAGATCCCACATGCCACGGAGCAACTAGGCCCGTGAGCCACAACTACTGAGCCTGCGCGTCTGGAGCTTGTGCTCTGGAACAAGAGAGGCCGCAACAGTGAGAGGCCCGCGCACCACGATGAGGGGTGGCCCCTGCTCTCCGCAACTGGAGAAAGCCCTCACACAGAAACGAAGACCCAACACAGCCAAAAATAACTAAATTAAATAAATAAATAAATAAAATTTTAAAAAAAAAGCAGTACCCCTCTTCTAAGGCAGTTGTGAGTGAATGCAGGGAAAGCAGGGAGAACGTGGCAGGCCCATGGCAAATTCTGAGTGTTTGCTCGTATTTTCATTTCGTTACTGTTGCCCTTATTCTCTGAGACACTCTGCTTCCCTCCCTCTTTTGGATCAATGATTTTAAAACAAGACATTCATGTGGAAAACTAAGTGTTGATGTTTTCATTCATTTAGCAAATATTTAAATACCAACTGTATGCCAGGCAATGGTGAGTTTTATAATTTGGCTTGTTTATGAATGAACAGCTTAAAGTAGATAAATAATTCATAATGGTGAGTAAATCCATCTGAGGGAAAATCTAATTATTTTCATTCTGCAGAAGAAAAGATCTAATTATATCTTAGTGTCCTATTCATCATAAAAAGGGATATGAATAGGAAAATTCATATGTATTTAATGAGAAACTGTATGTTGTCTCTCATGTTTATTTTATTCATAAAATTATCCATGCTGTTTTATTTCCTTCTTTGAAAATATGAACCTTCTCTAGCTTTCTCTTTTTTAATTTAAGCCTTCACGTCATTTTACATTTTTTAAGAACAGTGGTTCTCAACCCTGGATGCACACTAGAATCATTTAGAAAGCTTGAAAAAAATTATGTCCTACCTCAAATTGATTAAATCAGAGTTTCTGAGACTTGGGCACCCTAATTTTTGAAATGTGCTCAGGTGTTTCTGATGGGCCCAGGATTGAGAGTCACTAATGTAGTATTTGTGACTCCTCTTATATTTTATAGCTGGGATTGTATATGCCCAGAATATCTGTGAAAGGATTCACAGGATCCGGTCAATAGTGAAAGTCTCCTCTTGAGGAACTGGGAACTAAGGAGGGGAGAAAGACTTTACCCCCCTTCGTATCCTTAGAAGTGTTTCCCAAATGTATGTTTAATTTCATCAAAATAGTAATAATTGGGGCTTCCCTGGTAGTGCAGTGGTTGAGAGTCTGCCTGCCAATGCAGGGGACACGGGTTCGTGCCCCGGTCCGGGAAGATCCCACATGCCGTGGAGCGGCTGGGCCCGTGAGCCATGGCCGCTGAGCCTGCGCGTCCGGAGCCTGTGCTCCGCGGCGGGAGAGGCCACAACAGTGAGAGGCCCGCGTACCGAAAAAAAAAAAAAAAAAAAGTAATGATTGATGTAAAACATCCCCCACCAAAGAAAAAGTGTACAGTGAATTAGCTTTGAAAGACAGTTGAGACTCAATGTGAGTCACCTTTGCATTGGCGGGGGTGGGGTAGGGGTGGGGGATTGAACCAAATTGTATGTAAGGTTTCCCAGCTGCAGGAGTCCTCAATTATGATATGTTTCTAACATTTCCCTAAATGTGAAGACTTGTGGTCATCGGATTCTGGAGTCTTCTGCTGGGCATAAGTGAGAGAAGGGGAGATGTCCTAAGTGGTTTCAGGAAATCAGTTGACAGTACTTATTTGTGAAAAGGGGAATGGACTGTCAGCCTCTCAAAACCCATCCCTGAGGGCCGTTTCAAGGAAATATTGACGGTGGTCAGCTTAGTTTGTGAACCTTTCTTAATATATTCACAGGCATGTGAAATTTCACCATCACAACTATCAGAAAAAAGTATGAGAGCGATTTGGGTATTTGCATGATTCAAGTGATCAGTTGTGAAATAAGATTCCATGAAACCAGCAATTACAAAATCCAGCACCATCCCTTCAAACAAAGATACTGCCCCCCTTTCACAGAGAGCCCCAGTGACTTGCTCCAGATCATACAACTGTTCTTTTCTGTTAAGGTCTGTCACAACATCAAGCACTCCCGTAAGCTAAGCATTTCTTTGGTTGCTTTGTTTTTGTAATTAGTACGAGTTTGATTCTAGAACCTTTTTGCACTTGGAGTCACAGCTTTGAGGGGAGTTCAATTTTTATTTATTTTTTGGTCCTTAAAGAACATAATCACTGATGAAAAGTAAAATTTATTAATCAGAGTAGTTATTTATACCTCACTTGTTTCCAGAAGTGATTTAAAGAAGGCTCACAGGGCTTCCCTGGTGGCACAGTGGTTAAGAATCCGCCTGCCAATGCAGGGGACACGGGTTCGATCCCTGGCCTGGGAGGGTCCCACATTCCGCAGAGCAACTAAGCCCGTGTGCCACAACTACTGAGCCTGAGCTCTAGAACCCACAAGCCACAACTACTGAGCCCACGTGCCACAACTGCTGAAGCCTGTGCGCCTAGAGCCCGTGGTCCGCAACAAAAGAAGCCACCGCAATGAGAAGCCAGCGCACCGCAACAAAGACCCAGCACAGCCATAAATAAATAAATAAATTTATGAAAAATAAAATAAAGAAGGCTCACAATCTACTACACTAAGTTTAATAAAATAAAAGAAATTGAAAGCAAGGAAAGGAGAAGAAAGTGAGTTATTGTGAACGTACAATACATTTGGCTTTGGAGTTGTATCCATCCCAGGCAGAAATGAGCTATGTAGTTCTTACCAAAAAGGAAATGAGTGGGATCTCTGGAAAGACAAAGATTTTCCAGGCATCAGAGTCTAAATATTTCTCCCGTGGAATACTGTATAAAGACATTGAGTAGGAAGGTGGACAGTAACTTTGATAGGTGTTTTATTAACAGTTGCATATGTAATTTTCATGAGAATATTTCTCACAAAGACCTTCAGTAAATAATCACAGCCTACCTTTAGCATGTAGCTTGATTCTATAAAGGACAAAGGTAGTAGGTGCCTGGAGTGCTCCCCTGAAAAAAGAAAAAGAGGCATAGTCAGTTAGCTCTACCTGAGGGGGCATTTGGAGACCCATGCCATTTATTGGCTGTCCTTTGGTTAAGGTAATGTCCAGCTACATGATTTTGTGGCAGTCTTACTTGATTCAAGGATCTGAGTAAATAGCATGGCCTAAACCAGGAGTCCCCAGACATGGCTAACCTTCAGGAACAGGTGGGGAGTTACTCTGAAAACATGGGTTCCCCACTCTTGGAGGTCTGAACAGATGGTCTAGGGCAGGACCTGAGAAATCTCAGTTCTTCCCAGGTGATTCTGAGAATCACATGGGTTTGATACCACAACTTTAGACTGCCTTCCCAAATATCTCTTGTCTTAGCTGACTTTTCAGTAGAACCTATAGGGCTGGCCTTAAATACACTCAGATTATATGGACTATCTCTAGGCCAAGTGGGATTTTTCCCTAGATGGGGACTTTGGCGCTGTTCCAAAACTCACAAATGTTCATTTGACATCCTGGGTACTATAGAGCCAAGTTCATTCAGTTATGATAATCCCATGAGAATTTTAACCTTGTTAAATTGGTTTCTCATTTAATTCTGTATGTGTTCCATACTTGTAAAATTCTGGTTCTGCTAACACTGCCAACCAGGTTGAATCCTCGTTCTTTTTTCTGTGGGTATTTGTCCTTGGGAAGATGGATCTCATTACAAGGTCTCTGACTGAATAATCTAGGAGGGTCCTTTGAAAAATAGAAAATTTCACTTTAATGAACACAGATTGCCCATTTCTGAGCTGGGCATGGTGTATGCGGGGCATTCTGTGTGCATTGTCTCACTAGGTGTACAGAGATGTATGTTACAGACACTGGAAAGTAAGCATGAGTTAAACATTTATTCATTTCAGGGCCATTTTTTTTTTCTAACACCTGCCTTGTTTTTCAACTTTTTTTCTTCCAAAGTTCTGGGGATTTTTTTCCTAAAGTTCTTGTTTTAACTAATTTTTAAACTAGAAATTTAATCAGGAAAATTTTGATGATTTGGAATCCTAAACTGCATTTTTTTCCTTCATTTTACTTGAGGAGAAGGAAGTAAATAAGAAAGTAAACTCATATAAAAGATTTTTTAAAAAAATTACTCAGTTACAACCCGGTCCAGTTTAAGCTATGAAGAGAAAATTGTTCTTCACAATGGTTAACCTTCATTAAAGAGAAATTCCTTACATTTAGCACATCATATAACACACAGGCAGTAGACTGTCGATAAGCTCGGATCTCTGGGATCTTCTCTCCCCAGCCATGTGACCTGGGTACGTGTGCTTCTCTAGGCCTCACTTTCTTTCTTTCAAAGTGGAGAAAATACTAGCCCTGGCTGTCCTAACAGTTCGCAAGGATCAGAAAAAGAATATAAAAATGCCATGAAAACTATGAAATGCGATCCATTTAGTTGAAACTCTCAGAATACCCTTTTCTCTAAGTGTCGGGTTTGTTGGCGATTGTATGGAACCAGGATTGCACTGTTCTCACCTTGTCCGGAGTCCCATGCTCGGTGTCTGTGTGCCTTTCATCACGCTCCGTCATGCCCATGCATCTCTTTCCTGGTGCTTCCACATGTGTAAGGCTTCCTGAACTTCAGTAAAAGGCAGCTGAATGGCATCTGAACTTGGAAATAATTCCCAACCTTACATTTTTTTTTTTTTTTCCAACCTTACATTTTAATGAGACCCAATATATTGGTCAGTTTTAGAACAGTTTTTTTTTTTAATGCTGGATACAATTTTTTTAAATAAATTTATTTATTTTTGGCTGCATTGGGTCTTTGTTGCTGCGCGCGGGCCTTCTCTAGTAGCGGCGAGCGGGGGCTACTCTTCGTTGCGGTGCACGGGCTTCTCATTGCGGTGGCTTCTCTTGTTGCAGAACTCGGGCTCTTGACGTGCGAGCTTCAGTAGTTGTGGCTCGTGGGCTCTAGAGCGCAGGCTCAGTAGTTGTGGTGCACGGGCTCAGTTGCTCCACGGCATGTGGGATCTTCCCGGACCAGGGCTCGAACCCATGTCCCCTGCATTGGCAGGTGGATTCTTAACCACTGCACCACCAGGGAAGCCCTTAGAACAGTTTGGTTTTTTTTTGTTGTTTTTTTTTTTGCGGTACGTGGGCCTCTCACTGTCGTGGCCTCTCCCATTGCGGAGCACAGGCTCCGGACGCGCAGGCTCAGTGGCCACGGCTCACGGGCCCAGCCGCTCCGCGGCATGTGGGATCTTCCCGGACCAGGGCACGAACCCGTGTCCCCTGCATCGGCAGGCGGACTCTCAACCACTGTGCCACCAGGGAAGCCCTAGAACAGTTTTAAGTGTTGAAATTTAAAGTCTGAATGGGGTTTATCATCTTACAGTTCAGTTGAAACAGCTAAGTTGCTTGAGTATCTCACAGTTTAAAGCAAGCCTTTTATGTGTAATTTCTCACCATTGGAATGCTGAAGTTTTTCCTTCATACGCAGGTGTTCACGTAAACACAATTTCCCGGCATCAAGTCCCACCCTTCTTATTAAAAGCATGTTTACGACATTTGGGATGGAGCAGTGCAGAAGGGACGACTATGACCCCGACGCAAGTCTGGAGTACAGCGAAGAGGAAACCTACCAGCAGTTCCTGGACTTCTATGACGACGTGCTCCCCGAGTTCAAGAACGTGGGGAAAGTGATACAGTTCAAGGTGGGCACATGCAGTGCGCGTGGAGGACGGGACTGGTTCGCCTCCTTCTGAAGCACCAGATGGCATGGGAAAGCGAGGGCACAGGCTCTCTGCCTGGGTGGGACGTGCGCTATGGTGGAGGGCCTGGCGCCATGTTGGAAGGAAATGTTAATTCTTTCTCTCTCTCTCTCCATCCACCTCATTGCCAGTACGGTTGAGGTACTACTTGAAATCTTAAACAGGTACTAGCATGACATTTCCTGGGTTCTGAGGTTTTGATGGGAAAAGATATTTCATCCATTCAGTACCTTTATGGTCCCATTCTTTTGCAGCCTGTGAATTCTCTGCATAAGGTCCTCTGCAAATAGGTATCCAAGCGTTCGCTTAGGGGCTGCATATGATGCGGAATGCCCTCCCTCCCGTGGTCGGTCTCCCCTAGAGCCGAGGAGAGCAGAGTGTGACAATCGTCTACTTACTCCACCTACCGAGGTGGTTGATTTGTTGTTACTGTATTGTGTTGATGGTGCCTGCCTGCAGCTTCCACCCAAGGTGCATGTTCTTTCTTTTGGAGCTCCCCAAGAACATAAACCTTGATTCCTTTTCCTTTTTTATTTTTACTTTGTTTTTATTCACTGAATACTCTCAATACTGAAAATAGTGTTCCCAGAGTCATGGTTTGTGATGCAGCATAGGGGGTAAAAGAAGTGTTCAGATTACAGAGTTATTTTAAAACATTCCTTAAAGCAAGCATGAAGTCAGGTGTAATGGCTGCTGCTCCTGGGCCCAGTGGTCAAATCCTAGCACAGTGAAGTCTCCTGCTGTCTGCAATTTGATCAGATCCGAACCTGAATGATTTTGTTATGTTAGGATGGGGGAAATGGCCCATAATTTGGAAAGAGATAGGAATAAAGCTGTGAATTTTTTCTGCTAGTTGGAAATGACAGTGGAAATTTGGAACAGCTAAGAAACAGAGCAACTGCGGCCCTCGTGAAATTCAAGGCTATCCTTCTTACTACTGATTTCAAGATTTTAAAAAATTCTTTCAAAATTTCTCTTTCCCCTTTACCTTTTCTTTCTGTTGCATGCACTTTCCCGTCTTCACAGTACTTCTAAGTGCCTGGCCACACACGACTCGGTGCCACGTGAGAAGCACCGCTGAGGAGCTGGTGTGCTGACTAGCCGTGGGCTCTTTGCCTCTTTGTGCCTTTTCCTCATCCCTGAAGGGCGAGGACTGGACTACATCAGTGTTTTCCCGCATGGGGTCCCTACATCATACCGCTTCTGGGAAGTTAGTGCTGGAGCTTTCAACACCTCAGGCTGCTTAATGGAAATCACCCCCATTATCTGCAACAGGCCGTACCTACTAACCGTGGAGTTTTTTTTTTCTTTTGTTGAGAATTCTGTCAGCCAGGCTCATGCTAATCACGTTGGCAGTTATAAATGGAAAGCTGTTTAATAAACTTTTAGTAGAAAAATTTCCAAAACATCAAATTCATCATGGAAAATTAATAACGGGTCTTTGGAAACCACTGGCTTAAATGATCTCTAAGGGCCCTGGTGCGGCTCGCGTGGCCTCCTGGGGCCTTTCAGTCTTCCTTCTCTCTCTCTCTCTCTTTTTTTTTTTTTTTAAAGATTTCGAGAAGCATGTGGGATCTTAGCTCCCCGACTCCCTGACTAGGGATCAAACCCGCACCCCCTGCATTGGAAGGCGGAAGGTGAAGTCTTAACCACTGGCCCACCAGGAAAGTCCCCAGTCTTCCTTTTTTTTCTTTTTTTTAAATAAATTTATCTATTTATTTATTTTATTTTTGGCTGCACTGGCCTTTGTTGCTGCATACAGGCTTTCTCTAGTTGCAGTGAGCGGGGGCTACTCTTCGTTGCGGCGCGTGGGCTTCTGTTGCAGTGCCTTCTCTTGTTGTGGAGCACGGGCTCTAGGTGCGCGGGCTCAGTAGTTGTGGCTCATGGGCTCTAGAGCTCAGGCTCAGTAGTTGTGGCGCATGGGCTTAGTTGCTCCACGGCATGTGGGGTCTTCCTGGACCAGGGCTCGAACCCGTGTCCCCTGCCTTGGCAGGCGGATTCTTAACCACTGCGCCACTAGGTAAACCCCCCCAGTCTTTCGTCTAAGGATGGTGTCAGTCAGTAGTGTCAGTCAGTACGCATCCTGCCTCTCTTGGGATGCTCTAATAAAAATACTCTGCAACTAAGTTGTAAAATTATATCGATAGATTCATTTTGAAAAGAAATGCTAAACATTAGTATGAGTATTTGAGGACTTTTTTTTTTTTTTTTGCGGTACGCGGGCCTCTCACTGTTGTGGCTTCTCCCGTTGCAGAGCACAGGCTCCGACGCGCAGGCTCAGCGGCCATGGCTCACAGGCCCAGCCGCTCCACGGCATGTGGGATCTTCCCGGACCGGGGCACGAGCCCGTGTCCCCTGCATCGGCAGGCGGACTCTCAACCACTGCGCCACCAGGGAAGCCCTAAGGACCTTTTTATACCGTTATGTAAAACGAAATCAGATTTGTCATTTTTTAAGACAAATGGTCAATGTTCACCCTCACAAGTAATGGGAACAGTGCATATTAAAATGAGATGTTATTCATACCCATCGGGAAAAAAATTATGAATTCTAATATCAAGCATGGGCGACGTTGTGTAAATTAGTAAAACCACTTTAGAGAGCAGTTTGTCAGTACCTAGTGAGGTTGAAAGTACATGGAACCTACAAATCAGCATACTACTTACGGTCATGCACACTAGACAAAGTCCTACCGCCCAGAGAGGCGTTCAGGCATGCTGACTGCATCACTGTTTGTTGATGAAAAATTGGAAGCACCTTGGATATGCATCATTAGAGGAGTGGATAAATATATTTGATAATTTGATATAGCCAGTATTTAGTAGTTTAAAATGAGTCATTAAGTTTACATGATTACATCTTGAAAAAAGGATGTGAAATAAATATTATTTATATAAAATTTTAAAATGTACAAAGCCATACTGTATATTGTTTATCAATATATATACGTGCTTCTTAGCATATATGTACATAAATATGTGTATACCCATACGTACATAACAGACACACACTTCTTTGTATGTCTGTACATAATATATGTATATATTTTATGGCACACATATGATATATGTGTATATGCCTGTCTGTGTATATGTATGGCTGTGGGTATTGTGTCTGTGTAGATAGGGGTGTGTGTGTGTGTGTGTTTGGAATGTGAAGGTTATACCCAACCTCAGGATAGTGTTCCACCTATGTGATGGAGGAGGGAGAAGAATAGGATGAAAGGGCTTCAACTGGGTCTTTCACGTTTTATGTATTTAAACATTCTCAGTCAAAAATGGAAAATGTTAGTGTTAAATCTGGGTGGTGTATATAGGGGCTGATTTCTAGTCTCTGTATTTTTTTTCTTTTTTTAAAATAGTCTCTGTATTTTTATGCATGTGTGAAGCATTTCATATCTTTGGACAAAAAAGAATCAGGATCAACAGGGATCAGGTAATTGGGGCCTGCAACACTACCGTCTGCTGAAGTATGCCTTAAATAGACGTAAGAGTGGGGTAGTATCTTAATTTTGGAATCTTTGATTGATAACAACTTTTGGTAATGTTGGCCTGGACAAAAAATGCGTTTGATGACTGGAGGGCTTCTTTTCCTTAGGTTTTTGCCTTTTTTGTTTGTTTTCTAATGATGGAATTCTTCATTGCTCCTTAGGTCAGCTGCAACTTGGAACCTCATCTGAGGGGCAATGTGTATGTTCAATATCAATCGTAAGTATTCTAAACATAAACATCTTCACATTTGTCACAATATAGTGTTGTGATTACATTGACATCTGGGATTTTTCCACTGAATATATACCTTTCATATGCATGGTATTTTTAAAAATGTAAATATTAAGAGCTGACCTAGAAATATGGAAAGGATTAGAAAACTATATATTTGTATTTCATTTTTCGTATACTTAGAGAGTTTTTAATTTTTTGCATTATAGTTAATTTTTTACTTATATAATTTTAAAATTAAAACACAAACTGAAAAGGGATAACTAGAATAGAGAACCCCAAATAAAAGCCCCAAATAATTTCAGTGTGCATTTGGCCCGCTAAGAGAGCAAGCAGTTAGTGTGTTGTTTCTGCTCGTTTTGCTGTTTGCCTGTGCTGCCATGGCTAATGGGATAAATTAACCATTGTATTGAATAATAGGAAGGACAGCGATCTGAGCTGAGAAGGAACAGGCAGTGACAATGGAAAACACTTCTGCATTTTTAATGGTCCAATCTTTTGGTTTAAGAAGCTTTGACTCAAGTAGATTTCCTTGCATCAAAACCTCTGGGAGGGTTAGTAAAAAAAACTAAAAAACAAAACGGTTCCTGAATAAAGTGAGCTTCAGGACCTTGAATGCTGTAATAAGGACTCCCTAGGTAGCACAAAGGCAGTGAACTAGGTGATCCTACGGTAAACAAATACAAGGGTTAATTAACAGTAGGGTTAATCTGCATATTAGAAAGTTACTCTAAAGTGCATCCTTTAATTTGTGGTTTCAAGGGAAGAAGAATGCCAAGCAGCCTTTTCTCTGTTTAATGGACGGTGGTACGCGGGAAGACAGCTTCAGTGCGAATTCTGCCCAGTGACCCGATGGAAAATGGCAATTTGTGGTAAAATACAACGTGACTTTTTTCCCCACTGTTCCACTGTCATATAAAGAATAGTTTTAGGGAAAAAACCAACCTTTTAAAGGTGTGAAGCATAGCTTTTGCCTCACCTGGTAGATGAGCAGAGATCATTATGTAAAGTACATCACAGTTTAGACCTGTAACCGACCTTGTGGGTCACTTTATGGATGAGGTGACTGGGGTCACAATGTATAGGTGACAGAGTCGGTGCTCGAAGTCCTGGGCTCTGCAGGAAGCCTGAGAAGTTGTGTCTATCAGGGACGCCGTCTCCTGATTGCAGTCTCAGAAGTGTTTTCTATTCATTGGCTCCTCACTTGAGCTGGGTTTTTTCCCATCTTTATCCCTAATGAACCTTCTGTCATCTTTGCCACCTAAAACATTACCTATGACACTTCGTGCCTTATTGAAATACAAGCTTTTGTGTCATAAAGATTGATTATAGCTGTAGAACCTGGTCAGGGCACATTCAGTCAGGCTGACTCATCAGACAGTGGCTGCCAAGTCAGGAAATGAGTCAGTCCTTTGAGTAGCTGGCAATTTTGAAGGGCTCATTCTGTTTTGATTTCTATCAGATGGGCTTCGCCGAACCATTTCTTGTTGAAGTGCTCCGGGAGCTACGAGAGGAGCTGCCCATGCCTTACGGGACCACTTCCCTTACCCTTTGCGTTGCTTTGCTTTATACTCGCCTGCTTAAAACCTCTTGTTTCAAAATCTATAATTTATAAAGTCTGAATCTTTGGCAACCCGGTCTTAATGGATGCTCTCACTTAAAAACCATTTATCTGAAGGGAGAAAAAAAAGGAATTTCGAATTCCTTGCTTTGGCAAACCAGAAGAACCATTATGCCTGATTTAAAGACGGGTGCTGAAAGAGATGGGTCTGTTTTCTCCATTTCAGTGAGGTGCTTCTGAGTGTGACTTTGACTCCCCCAAAGCAGGAAACTATTTATTTCACTTGTTATTTTTTAAATAACAGCTTTATTTTTTCCTAGTAACTAATGAGCATTTTGTCGTGTCCTTATTATTGGATTATTGGCCACTGTATATCATCTTTGGACAGATGTCTGTTCAGATGCTTTGCCCATTTTTCATTAGGTTATATGTCTTATTGAGTTGTAAGAGTTCTTGATATATTCTACAGACAGGTCCCTTATCGCAGATATGATTTGCAACTATTTTCTCCCATCATGTGGGTTGTCTTTTCACGCTGATGTTGTCCTCTGAAGCACAAAAATTTTTAATTTTGAGGAAGTCCAATTTTTCTATTTTTTTTCTTTTTTTGCTTGTGCTTTTGGTGTCATATCTAAGAATCCATTGCTTAGCCCGTGTCACGAAGATTTACTTGTATGTTTTCCTCAAAGAGTTTTATAGTTTCATAGCTCACGTTTAGGACTCTGATCCATTTTGACTGACTTTTTGTATATAGTGTGTGGTATGGAGGTATTTCACTTTTAACTCTTTTACATATTTAGGGAATTCACCGCTTTTAAAAAAGTTTGAAAATCCCCAAAAGATCTCTAAATTGTTCAAGTAGATTTCACCTTTGACAAAAATCTTCCATGTTAAAAGCACCTGGTAAATTTAAAGCATTAGGCCAGTGTTTATCATCTTCTTGAAGTATAAGAAAATACAGGATCTTCTACTTACGATAGGCTCTTTCTTTTGGTCAGTGGTTTGGTCCTCCCACCACCGTGCCCTCAAAGCATGTTGCCAGGGGGACTCCCAGGGCTGGTTCTTCACTGTTAATTAGGGATCTACATTGTCAGCAGGATGGTAAAAGCCTAGAAAAAATAATGTGGTCGCCATTGGTTCGGTTGCACTCCACACCATAATCCAGTAGGGGAACAGGGCATTCTGGTTAATTAAAAGTTCTTATCTGTTACTTTTCACAGTGCCCTTTGTTAGAGCATTGAATATTTTTGAAATTCGGGGAGCCAAACTATGACATCAATGTACGTAAGGAGAAAATAGTCCTATCACAAGCGAACATCAGAAATGTACCTTCTGAAAAGGATGAAGTGCGAGCAGTAAATGCCGTTTCTTCACTGTGCCCCTCCAGGTTTATTTGAAATACAGCAGTGTCCAAGAGGGAAACACTGCAACTTTCTTCACGTGTTCAGAAATCCCAACAATGAATTTTGGGAAGCGAATCGAGACATGTACCTGTCTCCGGATCGGACTGGCTCCTGCTTCAGTAAGAACTCAGAGAGGAGAGAGCGGCCGGGCCGCCACGACGACTACTACAGTAGGCCGCGGAGGAGGAGGAGCCCCGGGCCGGCCCACTCCTACAAGAGGAACGGGATGGCCGAGAGGAGGAGGAGGAGGAGCCACGGGGGCAAGAAATCCCACAAGCACGCGTCCAAAAGCCGGGAGAGGCACAGTTCCCGAAGCAGAGGAAGAAAAAGGGGCCGCAGCCGTGGCCGGGGCAGCCGCAGCCGCCGCAGCCACAGCCGGAGCTCCTCCAGGTCCAGGAGCCGCGGCAGGAGGACGTCGGGGAGCCGAGACTGAACTCTGCATAGCCCCAAATCCAAATAAACTTACCATGTCCTTCAGTGATTGTACACCCTTTATTATGGCGGCTGCGTAGTTGGATAGAGGGCTCTCAGCTCACGTGGGTTAGCAAGTCTGGCAAAAGCCTATGTAGCCTGGAACCCTATTTTAAAATACTTCTATTCTCCGGTAATCTGTGTGCTTACTATAGAAAACCTAGAAAACATAAAATGTATACAACACAAAAATTATTTATACTCCTGACCCGTAAATATAACCGGTTGGGCTTTCCTGGTGGCGCAGTGGTTGAGAGCCCGCCTGCCGATGCAGGGGACGCGGGTTCGTGCCCCGGTCCGGGAAGATCCCACATGCCGTGGAGCGGCTGGGCCCGTAAGCCATGGCCGCTGAGCCTGCGCGTCGGAGCCTGTGCTCCGCAACGGGAGAGGCCACAGCAGTGAGAGGCCCGCGTACCGCAAAAAAAACAAAACAAAACATAAAACCAATTAACACTGGAGCATTGCTTTAAGTCTTTTTTTTCTCTTATGGGTGTACGGGTGTGTACACATTTTTTTTACACAAAGATAACATATATGTCTGCAGTTGAATATGCTTTTTTTCACACCAAACATTGTCCTATTTCATCAAGCCCTAGTGTTACTGTTATTTTCACTCGCTGCATAGTTTGGATCTAACAATTTAACAGTATCCCTATTGTTGGATTTTTAAGTTATTTTAAGTTTTGAACTATTAAAGAATCCTGTGCTATAAACAATCCTGTGGTGGATTTCCTTAAATACTTTCATACATTACTGGTCATTTCCCTAGGATAAATTACATCAAGAAATATGAATACAGAAGTCTTTCCAGATTGCCCTCCATAAAGACTACAAAACACTTTACCGTCAACAGTAAATTTTGCTGTTCCTGCACCAAATTACTGTAACCTTTGCCGGTTTGGTAAATTTTATGTGTTTATTCATCTCTGCACATATTGGCTAAGCCAAACACATTTTTCCGTATTTAATGGGTATTAAGTTTGGTTGTTTGCCCCAAATTATTAATAATTGTTAGATTTTTTACATGTTAATAGCCGAATAGCTTTTTTACTTTAAAATTCACTTTCTTAAAGTACTAAAGGGTGGAGTCAATTTTTTCCCCTCCCTCCTACCCCATAGTTTTCCATTAGGATGTTCGTCTCTTTTACAGTGTTACAGAGTTCGTTGCTACTGAATATGCCTGGTGTTAAAGCAATTCTGGTAAAAAAGAGTGGTCAGAGAAACTTGCTTGAAAAAAAAATTAGGGACTTCCCTGGTGGTCCAGTGCTTAGGACTCCACGCTCTCACTGCCAGGGGCCTAGGTTCGATCCCTGGTTGGAGAATTAAGATACCCTGCATGGCCAAAAAAATAAATAAAAAGCTTAAGACAAAATATCATTCTTAGGTTTCAGATCATAAAAAAGAAAAGATGCTCTCATACTTCCTTATAAGATTTTTATTTTCTTGGTAACCTCCTCTCCATTGATGTACTGGAGATCTCGAGTTTCCGAGTATGTGGCATTTGGCAACTTGAGATTTGGAAATAAGGACTTAAGGATTCACAAAATACTGAGTTTAACAGAAACAGGAAAAGAAATTTCTTCAGGATTGGGATTTCTGAGTGGTATCTGTGGAAAATGAAAGTTCTTTAATCTGTAGTCTAAAGGAAAGGAATTATGTGGTCCAGAATACATTTTACTTTAAAAATTGATATGTGGAAAAAATAAATTGATATGTGGGAATTCTCTGGTGGTCCATTGGTTAGGACTCAGTGCTTTCACTGCCGTGGGCCGGGGTTCAATCCCTGGTCGGGGAATTAAGATCCCACAGGCCATGTGGTGCGGCCAAAAAAAAGAAAAAGAAAATTTGATTTGTTCCAGAATTTAAATGCCTCTACCCTAAAAATGAGTGAAAAATTTCTGTAAGTATCTAATGGATTTACAAATGCTGAATAATTCTCACTAAATTCAAAATTTTTCAATCCTTTTCTAAATACAGCCAAGACATACACAATTAAATGTGGGCATTCAAAGCTGAATATTCATCTTAATAGCTCATGGAGGAAAAAACGAGATGAACACCAGCTTGTCCTCAAGGTAGAGATGTTGGTGACTTTTCCCTCAAGTGTTAATGGGTAGTATGAGAGGGATGGAAGGAAGTAGTTTTTAAACCACTGACTGGGTCATTATCCTGATAAATGTCCATCTTGAACTTAGACTTATTAATGCCTTTTTTAAACCTACAATTTGATTACTATTTATGATTCAAAAATTCCAACTCTACATTGCCAGCAGAAGGCCATATGCCTGTTTTCAGTGAAGAGATAGCTGCATGTTGGAGCCTCTTTAAATCTACACATATCCTTTTCTTTTAATTGCACACATCTATTTTTAGCAGACTAGCAAATTCGTTTGATGGTAGTTGTTTCCTTGATCTTAAATATCCTCATTTCATTGTTTTCCTATTTTTTCTAGAAATCAACGAGTATACTTAAAAAAAATCCACAATTTTGTATGTAACATTTCCTATCTGTAGTTAATAGGCAGTCCCTTAACTATCATGATAACCAAAATTTTGATTTGCTACTCATACTAGGCAGTACTTGGCACATACCCGTCCATTTCAGCAAGTGTGCTCGCACCTCCGGTTAGTGTGTGTGTGTGTGTGTGGACTCCAGTTGATTTGGAATACCTCTGATTACCTGGAGTGATCTGAGTTGCTCATTCAGAAAGAGAAAGTCAACTGCATCAAGGTTTTAAAAGCAGTATTTATTGATTGAAAATAAATGTGTAGATAAGCTCTCAGTAGCATGGACTCCACATTATTTTTTAATGAGCTTGAAGTACATGAAGACTCCTTAAGTCTTCCGCCATTTATCTTGTGTGTGCTTTTAACCACCACCACATTCAAATGTGGGTGAATTTTCAACATTTTACTCAAAAAATTTTTTCTTTAAATTCTTCCTTCAGCAGCTCTTCATAATTTGACAAACTTTTGGAAAGAGACAGATAAAAACACACGACAGTGGTGTACATTGAACATTTATTACAACTAATTGGCGATGTGATAAGACGTGCTCACGTGGCCTGAATACTGGTCACAATCACAACAAAGCTTAATCCAGCCCAGCAGATACAAATGAAAGTGTAAACTGTGAAGACATGTTTACATACATAGAAGTATGTATAAAAGTGACATTGAAACAACTGTATATCCTTAAAAAATATAGAGCCCACTAGTGCCATTTTACCTCATTCAACTCACACTTTCATATGAGAGGTGGTATCTGTTTTTATATTTATGACTTCCAATAACTAGGCAGTGCCATAGAAGGGAAGGAAGCTGCCCTAAAGTTTGCTGCACTTCTAAGTGGAGGGAAGCAATAGGGGAGTAAAATAAATTTGGCTGTAACAAGCACCCTGGAAGGAATATTCCTGCGTTAAACAATGACTTATGCAACACTTTGTGAAGGGAGTAAAACATTTTCTGTAACATACTGTTATTAAGAATCCCTGGTAAGTCAACATTTCCATTTTATTTTGGGGGCATCAAAAAGAATACAACTAAGTGACTAAATGATTATGACAACAAGAAACTTATCTCAGGAGTCAAATGTTCCTTGGCCTTAAAAATAACGTGCTTACTATTATGAAACAGCTGATCTCTGTTCCTCGTCCCAGGTCTGGAATGCCTAAGAAATAATTTTTAGTGTAAAACAGCATCATTCCATTAGTCTTTTGTGTATTCCCTTTGTTTTAAGGTGTTTAGTTTCTAATAAGGGTCTTTGGTATACATTTGTTTTTTTTCTAAAGTTTCAACATAGAGTGAAATTTTTATTCATTTGATATGTGACATGTCAATTCCCTTTATTCGCATATATAATAAAATGAACTAGTCTTTGGCTTCATAAAACCAGGTTTCATATAATTTAACTTTTTTGCCAAAGACAGTAATTAATAAATGTATATTGCCTGACTGTGTCATATTCATAGATACGCATAATCAAGGTAATGATAATAATCTATTCAAGAGAAACAGACCTATAAACTTTAAAATAGCCAGAAAAAGTACCTTTCTTTTCCTGCATTCATTCTAATTCATATTTAAGTCCCTTGTTATCACTTGATTAACCAAAGTTCCCTTTAAAAAAAGATTGTGAAAAAAAAAAAAAAAAGATTGTGTAGGCCTGAATGAAGCAGCTTAGCAGAACAGTAATACTGACAAGACGTCATCTTACACCATTAGCTAACACGGACATGAAGGCAGTGACCATCTACAGTGTGTGAAATGCCACAGGAAGTCATCAACAGGGGAGGAGAGTTATGTCAGTCCAATTTCTTCAAGAACGCTACGTGGGGTTTCAGCTTCCTGTGGAGGGAAAATGTGAGACTCTGGTAAGCAGATCCGGGGAGGCTTGAGAATGTGAAATTGACACGGAAGGGCGTGCAAGTTTCAGAGAACGCTGAACGCAAGCAGTTCAGCAGTATGGGCACTTCTATGGAGAGCCAGTGCTTATTTAGCGACTTTTGCCCCAAACATCAGAGACCACAGGAGGATATTTTCAGCATGCATTAAATACCTACTGACTACCTACCAATTGTGCTGGGCTCCATTGCTGTAACACAAAAAGCAGTCAAGCCCACTGCAAACGCAGTGCAAACCCACAGCTACCCGACATTTCTACAGGAAAGGTAAGTTACCTTAGTGTTAAAATTCAAAACCTCCCCTAAATAAAGACCAGGGAACCCCCGCTGAGTTCTCCCCATTCTTCACATATTTTGTTTTCCCTGCTCTTTTTTCAAGTCATATGTATTTATTCTTCTCTGAGTTTTTACTCAGTTTTGGACTTAAATGTCCCCAGCAGCAAGGCTGCAGAAACTCACCTTCCCAGACCTCCCCAGAGCAACCAATGGTTTCAGTGGAAGTAACATACAGAAAGAGTGCTCTGGGATCTGGGACAAAAGTGCCTTTTGTTCTATGGAACAACCAATACTCATTTTTAAATGTCAAAAGAAGACTAAACAAAGTAGGCATACTAGAAAAAAATTAAAAGTTTTTCCCAAGTGTCTAATTTTGCACGGCACAAAATAAAAAAGGATCAAGTAGGTCAAATTTCAGGTATTACTAACAACAAGTTTGTAATTAAAAGGCATACTAGATTTTAACAGAGGAAAACAATTTTTGTACCCAAATAACTTACTTTTGCATCCTAATTGTGGTACAGCACAAAACAAGGAAAAGAAAAATTAATTAAACCATAAATCCATACATTAGATTTAATTGTATGTAAAGCACTACATGAAATTATCTTAAGTTAATTATTTAAACTCTTTGGTCTGTTTCCTTATTCCTTATACTATGAAAACAAGGATCATAGTACTTACCTTCATATGTAGAGATTAAGGGAGATAAGGCTTAGTGCCTGATTCACAGAAAGTGCTCAAAAAATGTTAGCTGATACATTACTCAACTGAAATCTAAATGAAGGTATTTAGCCTTACTATAAACCAGCTCTCTATATAAAGTTCATATGATGACCTTTTAGTATGTTTGTGTATTAATGAAAAATGGGTAAAAGTCAGCTTTGGTGAAAAAAGGCTATTTTTTATGAAGTATTCTTGCCCCCCTCCCCACCTCCAAATTGAACCTCAACCTAACCAGGCTACAGACCTAAATATACATGGAGGATAAGAAAACAAGTTAAACATCACCATTATAATCTGCCAGATACAGAATGGAGGAAATTCTACAGCATAGGGGACTCAGTTTAACAAAAATAGGCAAAGGCGGGTAAAAGCAGAGGAGTTGTTAAAGATTAAGAGAGACTTAAAGAGACCAGATAAAGTGTGAGCCTTGTTTGGAATCTGGCTCTTACAAACCGATTATAAAAATGCATTTTTCAGACAATTAGGAAAAAAAACCCAACCAGGAATAAGACAGGAATTACTATTAATTTTGGGGGGTGTGGTACTCATCTCTTAGGGATACATACTTAAGTAGTAAAGATGAAATGGTAGGATGTCTAGGGCTTGCTGTAAAATAGGCAAAAAAGGTGGGGTGGAAAAAAAAGGCAGGGTGGGGTGGTGATTTATGAAACTAGCATTGAGTTGATGGTTGTTGGAGCTGAGTGATGCGTACATGACAGTTCCTTATACTATTCTATTTGTATGTCTCAGAGTTTTCATGATATAGCTTTAAAAGAAAGTTTAATGGAAGTGATGCAACACTCCCAAGAATGATGTAAGCCAATCTCTTTCATTTATAATAATGTTTAGCCTTAAACATTAAATACACTGCAAGACTGACATCTGAATCACATACGTATTAAATAAAGGGGACAATTTAAAAAGAATCATTTCCATTTAATGTTAAATAATTTTTAAAACATCATATAACCTTTAATGTATTTATTAAAGGGTGCCTACATTGAATTCTATAGTTAACATTCTTAGCTTATCCATGTAAAAATGTCCCCCTATCCTATTCCCTGGAGCTGGTCAGACTTCCCCTATGTGTTCACTGCTTGCAATCTTATACAGCATTTCTTGAAGAGAACCACGTTACTTCTCAAATATGCATTATTTAAAGTATCTGTCCTTTCTGAAAGGCCTAACTTCAAAGAATCATTTACACATTTTCTTCCTTTGAGACTTATACAAAGAGTACGTTAGAGTTTTTTAATCAGTTGTATTTATAATATAAAATTAATTTTCACATGTTCACACTGAAATTGTAGCTCAAAATTACCTAGAAAAACTATTATCTGAATTAGTAATATCCATAGAAACAGAAAGTAGAAAGGTGGTTGGTTACCAAGGGCTGAGGGGAGGGGAAGTGGGGAATAGTTGTCTATAATGGGTAGAGTTTCAGTTTTGCAAGATAAAAAACTTCTGGAGATCTGTTGCACAACAATGTGAACATACTGAACACTGCTGAACTGTACACTTAAAAATGGTTAAACTAGTAAATTTTGTTATTTTTAAAAGACAATTAAAAAAAATTACCTGGAAAAATTAAAATATGAAATATATTATTTATCAAAAGGATGGAGAAGAAAAAAGTCATTCACATGAGACAAAGTACATGCAATACTTTTATTTTAGACATGCAAGGAAAGGTATTTCAGAATCTACTAGTTTAAAGCAAGCAGCTGTATACAAATAACAAAAGAAGCAACATCTTGTTACAGCTGGGCACACAGCATCCAAAGCAAACAGGCATGAGACAATGCATATTTATGCAGCATTAAAACCACATGAATGACATGTTGCAGGGCTGGGGGAGGGATAGAGGAAAAAAATGGAAACGAAAAGACCAATGTTTCCCAATGCTATCAATGTATATAATGCTAAATTTCTCATTTGACCGCCCACCCAGGTTGCTTCAAATGTCATGTGGTACAGTGAGAATGGTAAGAATGGAAACAACTGATCTGCATACCTGCCTTATACACATTTTCACAGGTCTTCTTTCAATGGTAAATCAGTTTGAGCATCTTTTGAATGTATTGTTTAATGATAGGTTACTTAACTCGGGCTTTAAACTCTCTAGACATAAACAATGAATTATTTGGTAATTTCCCCTTTATAATAATATATGTTGCATGTTTTATTAAAAATATACACAAAAATTATCAATATTAAAGGTTTTCATATTCAGAAATATAAAACCATATTTAACAAATCATTAAGTAAATGCAGACAATTATAAAACCATAACTAGTAAAATATTAGTATTTAAGCAATATTAGAATCTTAACTATATAAAATAAAGCAGGTATTAATACTTTGAAAGGATTACTTACTATTGAACAACAGATATTGCAGAAGAGACTTTTCTGATATAGCTTTCTAATAGTTCTTAAAGGGACTGTTTGATACCGTATAGCACAAATGTGATTCAATAAATGTGGCATAAATTTCTTAGAAACTGAATGTTTTACCTTAAATATTATATAAGAGTAGATTTTACTTTCTTGTATTATTTCCAAATACACTTTTATGTGATACATTAGAAAACGTTTGCTCATATAGACTATAATATAATCACCCTAAATATAGCTCCCCCCGCCCCCCACCAACATTTGAAGATGAAACCACACTATATTATGCATTGCTTATTCTGCCCTAGCATTTCAGCTATATTTTCTTTGGTAAACATTTTAACAATTGCTAGGTATTCCTCTTACACGATTAATCACAGATGGTTCATAAATGATGACACGTATGTGTTTAAGATGAAGCATTACTCAAAATGGTCATAGGTCATATTTTTTCAAGAATTAAACCAGCTGCAAGCAGGAAAAGCTATATCAAGATCACATATCGAATGAAAATAAAACAGAAAAGAGGATGAAAACAGGAAAATTATTACAATTATAAAGGTAATGGTTCTGAAATGTTCTATTATTATTATACAAGATAATCAGTCACCAAGCTGAGGGTATTTTCTTTCATGAGCATATCAGCTCTCTATTTCCTCTGTGAAATTCTGCATACACGATGATGAGTAGTCATTTAGTACACAGGGACATTAAAATATTCATGACGTGGCTACAAAAGAAATGCATATATTCTTACACACAGTATACAAACTGACATAGACACAATCAGATTTCTAGAATGTTTAGTGCACAGTAAAGAAATTTTAATTGAAACTTAGAATTTGTTTGTTTTTAGAATTTTGGTTCATGGATGAATATTTAACTTCTAAACAAAGCCCAGGAGTTCAGATTCATCTTTTATAATTTTACTGTATATAATGATAATCTATATGATGACCTATATGTCCTACAAAATCCAAAAGCACTGTATTTACTAAAAATACTCTGAAAAGATTTTTCAGTATAAGTCATCTGGTAAATACTGAGTTAACTCAAAATCCAGTTAGAATACTCCCTCCCACCAGTGTTCAAGTTCATCAGGATTTTACCACACGAAGCAAAGGAATTTAATCCCTTAATGAAAATCATTACATCCTAGAATGACCATGAACTTTTACAGATCCTAAAGGAAAATCTTTCCCAAGAAAAAAGGAGAAAAGTAGTCACCCATTTGGTAGCAATAGAGGTTTTCAATGGTTTGCTTAGCTTAAAAAAAAAATTCCCAAGACTATACCCTTGCGACTAAGGATATTACTTTTAAAATAATCCTCGAGAAAGATTTTAAAGGACTCTCCAAATAGATGTGTTAAATGTCTATGCCTTCTCTCTATAAATGTACCTAAAAGGATGTTTCTCACATCAACAAGGTAACCTGAGGTGAGGTTTTAAACTGACCCTAGAGTGCAGAGAAGAGATGAATGTCTAGGGACTCCAAAACCTCCCTGAAACTAGAGACAAAATTAGGTACAGATTTTCCTGAGAAGAG